AGGATGGCTTGTTAGTCAATGATGGGGAAGACCCCTCGATGGCAGGGGCAACCTAAGACAGGCACAGTTGCATAGAGGCCATCAGGGAAGGACTTGGGGGACAGAGAGAAGGGGAAAAAGACCCTCACCCCTCGGCTTTGTCACAGCCGGATTCTTCATTCTATCTGAAATAAGTCTCCTTATCTCTTTGCAGTTCTGTCCCACCCGCCTGGCTCAGGCTTGAAACAATACTAAAGGCAGGTACAGCGCTAGACTGGATCAGGTGGTTCCGGTTCCCCCGGGGAAATCAGGACTAGAAGTAAGTTCCTTGAAGCATGCTTTGTTCTTCCCTCAAAAGCTATGATAACCAGTTCAAGCTGGGAAGGAGATTTACATTATTCGCAGACCCTGACCTGAGGCAAATCTCTTGTGTTCCTTCAATTGTTACCTGTGATGTTTGTTTTCTGTAAACATAGCCTTTTGACATTGATTGATGAGCTTTGCCTCCATACCCCTGTGCATGGTTCTCAATAAAAGCCATTTCAAGAGAAGGGCTGGGGCATTCTCCACTAGAGGGAATTGCCACCCCTTTCCCTGGCAGACCGAGAAGTGTCTGGGATGACTTATTTTATTTCCCCATCTGTGACGACCTGGAGAGTCCTCTGCGGGACAGAGTCCACCTTCCGCCTCAGCTGGAACCCGAACAGGGTCCTTCAGGACCCGTGCCACCCCATCTCACACCGATATTTCTTTCTCTTTATCTCTCCCTGCCTTCCCCTCTTTCTAAAATCAATAAACCTGTCAGCAGGTGAGAATAAAAAAAAAAGTAAGTGATAAAAGGTAGATTAGAGGGAAAGAATAGAATTTGGAGTACCACTGCATTGACAATGAGCTCCTCTTTTTAATCCTTAGTAGTCCATACCCCAGAAGTTGGCCCCAAGGTGAGGACTGGAAAACCTGCAGGAGCAGCCCTCTAGCTCTGGCTCAATGAGAGGAAAAGAGGACTCTTCACATTGAGATGGATGGACATACCATATTTTCCTGCCTTTGTCTTCTGTTCTCCTGCACCCTTCCCTCCAGGCAGTCCTGCTGTGGCGGCCTGAATGGCAATTATGGTAGTGAGGGCCTATGGCTGCCTAAAACTTTGAGTTATCTTATATATGACATCTACACACATTGAAACCATATCAAATAATGCTGTAATTTTTACTTTCAGCAATCCCAACAGGACGGGGCTAACCCCCGTTGATTTTTTTTCTCCCTCTGTTTTCCTGCCTCTTGGTCCTAGATGCAGGCAACATGATGAAAACACAATAGGGTAAATGAAACCTTAGATTTTTTGCCAGAGAGCAAAAAAGGGGATCTTCAAAGGACTGGAAAGTATCAGAGAGATCACAGAGAGGAAATAAATTCAGGGAGCAATCCAATAATTCCTGGCCTTGCCCCTGAACTGTGCATGCATGGATCTGATGCCAAAAAGCATATAATACATTTTAGTACTCATAAGATAGACCACTATCTATTTCCAAGATTGGTCACTGGCTTGTGGACAACTGGGACAGATCTGAATAGCTTTGCAAAAGCTTTAAAAACTGAACTGATGCTAGAACCACAACTGCAGAAGGCAGGTCAGGATTTCTGAATCTAGCCGAGTCAGCTGAGTGCTAAAACAAAAATATTATGATTATCCATAAGATTTACACAAGATTTAGACATTTCTAATATTCAAAGTGTCTAGTGCTTAATCCAAAACTGCTCAGCATGTAAAGAACCAGGAAAATCTCAATTAATATGAGAAAAGGCACTCAGCAGATGTCAAGGAAGAGATGACACAAATGTTGAAATTGTTGAAGATTAGTATAAAATGATCCAAGTGTAACATTCCGGAAACAAATGGAAAGGTAGAAAGTATCAACAAAGAAATAGAAGAAGATATACAAAGAACAAAGAAGATATAAAGAGGAGCCCAATGAAAATGTTAGAACTGAATGTATAATAACCAAAACAAAAAACTCATTAATGAAGTCAATAGCATAATAGACCTGAAAGAGGAATCAGTGAACTTGAAGATACATCCACAGAAATTATCTAATCTGAAAAACAGAAAAAATATTTTCAAAAAATGAACAGAAGATTAATGACCTGTGAAGCAGTACCTAAATTATATAGTATCTAAACCATGTCATCAGAATTCCGGAAGAATATTTTTAAAAACAGGTATTTGAAGAAATAATATATGAATATTTTCCAAATTTGACAAAATGCATAAACCTACAGATCCAAGAAGTTCAGTGAATCCCAAACAGGATACACTCAGAAAAAGTCTAGGCCCACATCTTGATCAAACTTCTGAAAAATAAAGGCAAAGACAAACTTCTTCAAAACAGCCAGAAAAAAATGACCCATTGATTACAGAGGAAAAATGATTTGAATGTGTGGGTCTCTCATCAGAAATCATGGAGACCATTTTTAAAGTGCTAGGAGAAGAGTACCGTCAACCCAGTGAAAATATACATTAGAAATAAAGACATTGTCAGATAGAAGTAAATCAAGAGAATTAATTACCAGCAAACTTACAACAAAAGAATTGCTAAAGGAATTTAACTAGTAGTGATCAAAAAACTTGCCACAAAGAAAAGCCCAAGCCAAAATGGCTTCAATTTTGAATTCCACCAAATGTATAGACTTAATTCTAGTCCTTTACAAATTCTACCAAAATATAGATGATAAAAAAACAGTTCCCAACTCATTATGAGTCCAGCGTTATCCTGATGCCAAAACCAGACAAAGACATTACAAGAAAACTACGAACACCCCTTGTTAGTATAGATACAAAAATCCTCAGCAAAATATTAAGGAACTGAAACCAGCAATATGAAGGGGGACCCCCCCCAAAAAGGACTTTATTTATAAAAAACTGTGTATTTATTCTTACATGTTTAAACTCTAGTCACCTTCAAAGTACTCTCCATTGGTGCAAAACACCTATTGAGACGTATTTTCCATTGCTCTAAACAGTTTTTGAGTTCATCTATTTTTATGCCTTTTAGTGCTTCTGCCATTTTTTGTTTCACCTCTTCCCCACCGGCAATACCTTTCCCTTGAGGACTTTTTTCATCTAGGAAAACAGAGAAAAGTTGCTTGGGGCAAGATCAGGTGAATAGGGAGGGTGGGTCATGGGGAGTCATGCCATTTTTGGTCAAAAACTGCTTGAACACTCAGTACGGTGTGGGCAGGTGCACTTGTGAATCACCCATCGTGAAATGGGCAAACACGTTGAGTCTTCAAAAAAAACTCACTGAAGCTGAACGTAGCCTCTCACAACAACCCCAGCTGGTGCACTGATACAGATGGGTTCCTAGAATACTCACAGAACCAGGGAAGCCTGTACTACAAGGGGTCTGCCCTCCAGAAGATAATTTCACTTTGGGGGGGCGTTGCCCCTCATATATGAACAAAATTTATCCCAGGAATGCAAGGTTGACTCAACAACAACAACAAAAATCAATCATAATGGATCATATTAAGAGAATAAAAATTAAAATAAAATGGTATCATCTCAATAGATGCAGAAAATGGATTTGACAGATAAAGACATTCAGTGAACTAGGAACAGAAAGGAACTAACATTATACTTAATGGTGAACGACTGAAAGCTTTCCTCTCAAAACCTGGAACAGAACTAGGATGCCTTCTCTTGTCACTTTTATTCCACATTATACTGGAGGTTCTAGCCAAGGTAATTAGGCAAGAAAGAGGACTTCACTCGGTCACTGAATGACTCTTATTGTCACCTTAAAACCTTGCACTGGATTTTCATCAAAGACAGACTAAATTTCTTAGTATGATATGGAAATCCCCTTAACAATCTGATAGCCCCAAACACAGGAATTTTTTATTTCTGAGACTCAAACTGTTTTCCACCTCCAGAGGCTGGTACATGCACATACCACTGCCAGGAAAGCCCACCCCTCCCTTGCTGGTCATCTTCCAGACAATTCTTTTTCATCCTTTTCATCACCAGCACACATGCGTCCCCTGTGAAGCCCTCTGCACCACCTGCGCAAGGGATGGGCTCCCTCCCCAGAGCTGCCTTTTTCTCACTACACCACCCTCGATTATCCGCATAGCACTTTACTGTGGTTGTTCACATCTCTTTCTCCCCTTGCGAGTTCAGGGTTGGGGCTACTATTGCTCTGTGTCCTCAGCACAGTAACAGAGGTGCTAAATATTTGTTACATGAATAAGTGAACAGTGCCGGGGAAGGAGGGGAGAAGGATGAGTAACTTATTAGGATACAAACATGACAATATTTTTGTTTGCTTTAGTGACCATGGGTATGTTGTGCGGAACTGTGACCCAGGACCTTTGAATATTAGGTTCCATAGGTCCTAGATTTGTCATTCACTGACCCTAATGGCCTTAACCTGCTTTACCTCCAGTCAAAATTCTACCCATCCTTTAAGATGACTCAGATGTCAAGTCCTCAGTGAAATGTTTTCCTCTCCTCTGCTCTTTCATAGCTCTGTACCTGGACAGCTATTACCATAGTGCATCATTTACTCTCTGGATTTCTCCATTAGAATCCAGTTGGTGTTTCCGTACTGAGAGAGAGAGAGAGAGAGAGAGAGAGAGAGAGAGAGAGAGAGAGAGAGAGAGAATATTTTTGGGATGGTCTTGTACAGCCATTGCCAGTGAAGTCATCGCTCACCCCAACTCCTACCTCAGTTTCCCCAAGTGTGCAATGGACACAATGGAAACACTGGCCCCGGGATGTGATTTAGTGCAGAGCGGGCAGCCTTGAGGTTGCAGGCAGCCTCCATGCTCTGTGAGGAGATGAGGGCAAGAAGGTAGGAAACGGAGAACGAGGGGAGGCGTCCGAGCACAGAAGACGTCGGGGGGCTGGGGTGAGGCGGGGCGGCCGGGAAGGACAGGCGGACGGGGCGGGGCCAGGCGGGGGCGCCGGGAGGCGGGCCGGCGACAGGCTGGACGGTCCGAGGGGACGCGCGCGAGCGCCAGCTATGGGCTCTGTGGCGCGGCTGGCGGCTCTGCTGGCGGCTCTGCTGGCGGTCCTGGCGCTCCGGGCAGGGGACCCGGCGGGGGCCGCGGCGGGTGGGGACACGTTCTCGGCACTGACCAGCGTGGCGCGCGCCCTGGCGCCCGAGCGCCGGCTGCTCGGACTGCTGCGGCGCTACCTGCGCGGGGAGGAGGCGCGGCTGCGGGACCTGACAAGGTGAGGGCACGGGAGGGTAAGCGACAGAGGGGCCTGAGTCGGGGAGACTGAGTCAGAGGGCGAGACTGCGACCCTATCCTACAGGGTCGGGGGTAACTCTGAAACTCATTGTTAACCTGCGTGGGACTTCAGACCGGGCGTCACACCGTGAGACTGAGGCACTGCGTGTGACTCCCCAGATCCATTGTGACCCTATGTGTGACCCCAGGACACTGTGGCATGAGGTGATGGGGAACCTGAGACTGACTTAGACCCCAGAGACACTGTGTCACACAGTGTGGGGTCACACACACACAGTGGCACTCCAGATCCAGCATCACACAGCGAAGCTGATAACAGGGTGTGTGGAAAGGTGTGGTGAAGTGACTCTGAGGCCAAGTAGGACCTCACCAGGCACTGTGTCAAGCTGTGTGGGCTCCCAGGCACTACCCCAGCAGCACAGAGTGACTACTGTGTGAGGCTGTAACTATAGGTGTGTTGACCATGTGGCCCAGTGAATTGATGTTTAGTATGAGTCAGGTGACATTCTGTGACCATGTAGGAGACTTACATGTTATTGGGACTGGATGCACATGACACTGTGGATATCATACTCCACATGTGAAAGATGCTGAGTAATTGTACAAGTCACTATATGAATAGTTCTTCATGTTCATCAGTTCATTCAACACATTTATGTTTGAGTGCCAAGCCTTGTTCCACACACTGGGGATAAAACGGTGAACAAGACCCAAACTGACTTCAAGGAGCTTGGATTCTGTAGCATCATGATTCTTAATCAGAGATGTCTATGCCTCCTTTGCTTTCAGCTCTCTGTTCTTTTTATGTATGTAAGAGCTCTCTAAATTCTAAATACATGACAACTGAGACGTAATATGTGTATGAAAGTATTTGACACAAAGATAATACTGGGTAAAACCATCCTTGATGCTAGAGGTTATTGAATATGGCATACACAGCAAGTCCTCAGCCAATATTTTGATATACGGTCAACAAGCTCTAGCGCTACACCCTGTGGGATACCATACTGCAGGCTTGGAACACTGGGGCACTGAAATCACATAATGACTGTTATTGTCAAACTATGAAAGATGAATGATTGTATTTGATACCATGTGTATGAGTATGAGTTGTGCCTTTTCTGCTTAGGACAACGAGAAGCCTGCAGTATGAGAAACAGTGGTGTAACCACATCGTTATGTGACTATATTAATACTTGTACTTATGTCACGTGACCCTCTACTGAGCTGAGACAACAGAGGGCTGTCTCACAATGTACTGCTTACACAACTGTGTTTGTGATGGTAATACCAATGCGGGGGCACACAGGAAGGTGTGGACCCTAATGCTGTGTGAGAGAAACACATACAAGAGAATTTGTGTGTGGAAGTGTATGTGAAAGACAGATATTATTTTTTTACTCAGTGGTGACTGAATGATGATGTAATTTGGAATGTGCTCTTAAGTATGTAGTTTGCATATAAGCAGTTATATGCATATTTAAATTTACTGTTAGTTTCAAATAGCATACAGTGCACATACGCACATATACATAACATGTGAGTGTATTAATAATAGCAATAAATGATGATAATTTCCATTATTCTTTTACTCTTTAGAGGAGCAGAGTTGCCTAACATTCTATAGGCCCACATTTACAGAGCAAAATATTTTAATTTTGTTCTTAGTCTCAGTTCATTGGAGTCCAAGTTAATTAAGGGTGATAGACGTTTTTTGTCTTTGATTTCAGATACCAATATGCTCCCTGCTTGTTTTCTTACCACTAATCTCTTTATTTTGGTGGCCCCGGGTGGAGATGGGGAGTCAGAATCCAGATGCCAATGCGGGGCCTCTCAGGGATCAAGCTCAGAAGAGAGAGGGCTGCCCTGGCTGGTGTGGCTCAGTGAACTGAGTGCCAGCCTGAAAGCCCAGGGGGTCACCAGTTCTTTCCAGTTGGCGTGTGTGCCTGGGTTGTAGGCCAGTTGAGGGTGTACGAGCGGCAGCCTCACATTGGTGTTTCTCTCGCTCTCTTTTTCCCTCCTTTCCCCTCTCTCTAAAGGTAAATAAATGAAATCTTTAAAAAAAAAGAGAGAGTGCTGATTAAAGCAGCTGGACAGGGCTTCACTGTCTTTATCACCATTGTCATTGTCAAAGTGGGAGGTCTTGCACAAACCTTATCTCATTTAATTCTCTCTCACAATGCTTTGAAGTAGGTTTATATTACTCTCTTAAACAAATGAGAATTTTTTTTAAATATGAGAAAACTAAAGTTTAGTACCTTATCCAAGATTATAAATCTAGTAAGTAGCAATTCCAGGACTGGGACACAGTTCTTTTGATTCTCTCTCTATCATGCTATGATGTTCTACTGCTTGCTTATCCAACATGACAGGCTCCAGACCTGAGGTCTTATGAGCAGCCAGAGCACATAAAGATTAAAAGTCTGGATTCCAGAATTTAACAGACCTCTATTTGACTCCTTGGCTTTGACTTTGGGAAAGTTTCTTTACCTCTTTAAGCATTAGATTTTTAATCTGTAAAATAATGAAAATGGTAGTACTTACCCCCCTAGGGTGGTTGGAAGGATTAAATACCATATAAAGGTATTTATCATTGTGCTTGAAATGTAATAATTGCTCAATAAGTGTTAGGTCTTTATGATTGTTGTTTAAGACTGGCTAGTGAAACTAGACCCCATGTTTGTCTCTGAATATCAACTAGGACTATGAGAGCTCAGATAATAAAAAAGAATCAGAAAAATTATAGATTCTCTTCTCATCTGACTTATGAACATTTAATATCAGAAAGTTTAATGAGATATTTTAGAGACTCTTTGTTTTCGAGTCAATGCTCTAAAACCTAGTGAAATGTCTGCTTTTAAAAGCAAGAATTTTAGCAGTTCCTGCTCATTTTCTTATACTCCCAATCTGGTGATTTCATGGACTTCAGATGTTATTTCTAAGGACCTCATTTGATATTCTTCTTACAATTTTTAAATTTAGAAATGAAATATTTTTGATGTTGAAACTACTCTCTATCCACATTAATAAATAAAAATTATACTAGTTATATACTATTATAGTATATAATAGTTACATATCTAACTATATATATTTATTTAACCCATCTCTCTTTTTTTTTATACAGTTTTTTAAAACTACCAAGACTGAATGAGTAATGTCAGCAGCAATAATTTCTGTGTTAAGAATTAGCCATTCAGAATGTCCCAGAAGGAATGAAGCAAAGCCATTTCTGAATTCCAAAGGAGAAACATATTGAATTAAAATAGCCTACATATTGCGGTTGGATCATCTGTCCAGGCTCTGTTTAATGCAGGGGTTGGGTTGCAAATTTTATGTGCAGATTCTTGAAGGAAAGGGTATGCTTTTCCACTCAGAGCAGCATTTGCCATTTAGGAAACCGTGAGGTTTGAATTCAGCATCCAGTTACTCGGTCTCTGAAAACCAGCTATTTGCTCAGAGGCTGGGCTTAGGGCCAGCTTTTGGATTCCAAACCAGCCTCAGAGATTAGTTGATAGGTTTTTTTCTTCCTGTAACAGAAAAGTGATGTATCTGAATGCTGAATTGAATTATGTGCTACAGTAAAGATCAAACCCCTGCCCTAAATTAATTGACCCCACAACACAAAGTGGGCTAGGAAGAGAATAAAGAGATAGTGCTTCTGACCTGGTTGATAACTTCGGACAATCTTCACTGCTCTGCCTTACTTCTTTCTGTCTGTGCCTCAGTTTCCTCTTATGCCTGTTAACCATTAATTCACAAGACCAGATGAAGAACCTATTTATTCAGTTACAGAAAAGGTGATGGAAAGAAATACTAGAGTGGTTGTGCTAGAAGAGATCTAGACTAAACTAGCTCTGTCATTTTATAGAGGAAGAAACTGAAGGATAGTTGGAGGCTGGGTCAGGATAAGTCTCAGGTCTCCTCTCAGCTCCTCCCTATCCAACTGTCTTATAAAACCACTGCCCATTCATCTTCAGTTGTTCCTGGACACTTAGTCTTCAGGCTGGACTCAAGCCCAAGTCTCTGCTTGTCTTAAGTTTTTTCATCTAGCAATGGAATATCTTTCACTAAGTAGTTCCATATGGAGCTGAAGCAGGAAATAATGGGTAGTAAATAAATATATATATCCCACACCCTGGAGACTGGTTTAGTTTCAAAACCTTAGGGTGGTGCTCTCAAATAGCCCTGTTTGGGAATCGGAGACATCCTGGGACTTGAAAGGCTTCCCATTCCTTCCCTGGGGCACCACGGCCCAGGTTCTCCTTCCTTAGTTTATGATTGAATTGGATGTTTGGCTCTCTGGAAGCAGCATGAGGCAAGTCACCTTCTATTCACAGGCTCTGTTTCATAGGTGCAGGAACCATCATCCTTGAGAAGTCTTTAGTTCCGACTCTGCTTGGAGGCAGTGAAATTCTCCCCCACCCAAACACTGTCTCTGTTTTTCACTTTCATCCCATTCCACTCATGGAAGTCCCCCACTCTTGCCAAAGGACTCCTGTATTCTCACGTGCTCTTGCACATGTTCACATAAATCCACATTCTTTTCACTTTGATCGCAGTCTTTTCTTTTATTTGTTATTATAATCCTTGAAAATTAAGTATTCTAAAACAAGGGGAAAAATTCTTAGAGGGCAGAACTAGAACTCTTAAGTCTGCCTTATTATAATCAATACATTTCAATAATATAAATCCTGCCAGTGTGTTAGAAGTGGAATAACCATAGTAGACCAGAAAAGGAGACAGCATCTTTTGCCTCCACAAACACTCTTGCAGGATTTATGAGAAGGAGAGAAATTAACTAGAAAGATGATCACTGCTGGCCCCGCCATTTCTGGCCCTTTCCTGCAAGTGTCTGCAAGCCAGAGAGCGGATAGCATGCTGGAAAACCCTACCTCTTCGTTCCCCATCAGCCACCACCAGTGTCTACATGGTGTACTTCTGAACATCTCCCTTGAATCCATACCGTTCTTTGCTGCCACTGTCACTGTTAGGGTTCAGATCTACCTTGTCTCCTACCTGTAGTTTTGAAATGGTTTCCTATGTGGCCCTTCTGCCTCCAGTCACTTCCACTTCTGAACCCTTCTCCCCACCCTTTCACAGGTTTATATACATTCGTAAACATTTATCGCACACCCAACTCTCACTTAAAACCTTTTGGTGGCTCCTAGTTGCACTCAGGGTAAAAATCAAATTCTTCAGCAAGGCCTGTGAGGAGCTTCTCACTTCTTCAGTCTGACTTACCCATCTCCCAGCACGCCCTGTGCTCCAGCAATATGAAACTGCCTGTAAGTCCCCTACCGTCTCTCTCTGTACCTTTGCATCCTTTGAGCGGCCTCTGCCTGCCCAGAAGGGGGACTCCTCTCCCTTCTGCATGTTCTCATTCCCCCATCACATCTCCATTTATCTCCTCTGTGAAAGGAGAAATTATCTTCTCTGATCTGTTCTGGCCACATCAATCACCCCTTTTTTGCACTGCCCCCTAAGCCTTACTCACAAATCTGGTATTGCATCTGTAATGCAATTATTCTTGTCTATATTACCCACTAGACTGTGAGTTTCTGAGACCAAGGTTGTTGTCTTATTCAAAATTTTGTTCCTAGCTCCTAGAAGAACATAGTATTTTATTCATTTTTCACATAAATATGTATTGAACTTAGACACAGAGTGATGAGAAAACCATCTCTTCTCTTGTCCATGAAATCACTGAGCATGGGATCCTGTCTTGCCCAGCTTCCAGCATGGAGTCTGAAAACCAGCAAGTAACCAGTAGAGACTGACTTACTGAATGAACAGATGTCAGGCATCTGTGCCTTTGTACACACTGGTCCCTACTGGCTCAAAAAAACCCACTCTTCCTCCCTTCTTTGCTCTAGCTCCACGGGAAACAGTATGGCAAAGGCAACTGAGAACAAGCTTCAGAGTCAGGCAGAGTTGGGTTCATTCCTGGCTTTGTTGCTAATGGTGTGGCCTTGTTTCAGTTTCCTCTCCTGTAAAATGGGCATGTTAAAGTCTCCTGTAAGGGTTGTGCAGGGGATTAAATGAGACTATGCATTTATAGCACTTAGCAGAATGCCTTATACTTGGTAAGGGCTCAATAAGTAGTAGAGATCAATACTTTAGCTAGTCCTTCAGGACTCAGATCAAGTGCCATCTCCTTGGGGAAGCCTTTCATTTCATCGTCTAACTCCCATCTGTGTTGGGTGCCCTGCTTAAAAATGGCTATAGCATTACATAACATTATATGCTCACTTCTCTCAGTGCATGTATCACAATTATTGCAATTAATTGAACAATGTTTTTGAGCTTCTACTAGGTTCTAAGTATTGAGTATAGAATGAGGAGATAAAAGAAAACTTTCTGAACTGTGAACTCCTTGAGAGCTGGACCCTGTCTTGCCTTTGTTCCTCTAGCCTCCAGCATGATGCCAGATGTACAATAATTGACCAGCAGAGACCAACTCATTGAATGAACAAATGAATAGACCTACTTTTGTTGTGTTGGTAGTTTTCATATATTTTGTGCTTATTGGTCAGAATATTACATGAGCCTAAAGGGGTTCAGCATATCATTTTTAACTACTCTTAATGTATAACTGCCATGCCAGCCTTTCCTAAGTGTAGTGGTTGCACCAGTAGGTGAGATCATTCTAGTCCTCTCTTTCAGGTTCTATGACAAGGTGCTCTCTTTGCATGAGGATTCAGCATCCCCTGTGTCTAATCCTCTGCTTGCGTTTACTCTCATCAAACGCCTACAGTCTGACTGGAGGAATGTGGTACATAGTCTGGAGGCCAGTGAGAACATCCGAGGTAATGAGGAGGAGGGCTGGAGGGTAAAGAAGATTCTATCTCCTGACTCAGTGGAAAGGAGAGAGATTCTGATGGGATGTGATGAAGGATAATGAAGTGGGTAGGTATTACTTGATCTCCTTAGCTCTAATTATTACAAAGAAGTACGGCCCCTTGTTACTATGTTTATGTAATTTTACATGAGAAAGTACTTGCATATCCATTATCACTTGGTCTTCACTACAATCCTGCTAAGAACAACAGGTTTTATCATCCCGTTTATATATGTGTAGAAAGTGATGTCTTCTAATTATTTCTGTTTTGTTAAGTTGCCACTACAGTGTGATCTATGGCAAGATCACTTTCCTAATTTACTCTATTTTGTACTTGAACAAGTTTGTTGACTTTAAGGAAGTTAAGCAGAAGAAGAATTGTACCCTGTAAAGGGCAAGACTCCCAGAGATAGATAGGATGGGACAATGTGATAAAGGTGTGCGCCTTAGTTTTGACTCGAGAGCTTTTCTTCCTTATTCAGAAGATTGTGTTAAGCATCCGCTCTGTGCCAGGCACTGCGCTTGCCACTGGGAAGAAAAGCAAATCAAGCATTATCTTTGTTCACGAAATATGGGAACAGGTGATTATGCCTGTGTTTTGAATGGTGACTTGTTTTCATGACTTTATAGCTCTGAAGGATGGTTATGAGAAGGTGGAGCAGGACCTGCCAGCCTTTGAAGACCTTGAGGGAGCAGCAAGGGCCCTGATGAGACTGCAGGACGTGTACATGCTCAGTGTGAAGGGCCTGGCCCGAGGCGTCTTTCAGAGAGTCACTGGCTCCGCAGTCACTGACCTGTACAGTCCCAGACGGCTCATCTCCCTCACAGCAGATGACTGCTTCCAAGTTGGCAAGGTAACAATTTTCAGAGAAAGATGAATTGCTTGGCTCTGTTTTCTTGTGGATGAAATAGCTATATCCTGATTGCTTTTACACGTTTTACATGTTTCTAATCCTGACAGCAAACTTGGAAATTTGTTATGCCTCATTTTCAGGTAACAAAATTGAGGTTCAGAGACGGTAGAGCACTTGCCTAAGGTTTCACAATTTTAAGTAGAACTAAAATCTGAACCTGGGTCCTGCCCAGTGGCTCAGTGGCTTAAGCGTCCTCCCATAACTGAAAGATTGTGGCCTCCATTCTGTTCAGGGCACATACCTCGGTTAAGGGTTCATCTGCTGTGCAGGTGCGGATGCATGCAACCCCTGGTCTGGATGCATGCGATTCCTGGTCCTCGTGCTGATCCCTGGTCTGAGTGCATATGAAGGCAACCAGTCAATGCTTCTCTCACATTGATGTTTCACTCTCTCCCTTCCTCTCTCTCTAAAAAGGTAAACGAAAGTGTCCTTAGGTCAGGATTTAAAAAATAATAATTAAAAAAATTTTGAGGTCTTGAATGAAGATGGCGGAGGAGTGAGTGGAAGTCACACTGACATCCTCCCAGGACCAACCTGGAATTACAACCAAACTGTGGAGAAATCACCTGGAACAAACAACTGAACAATAGCGAGAGAGGAACCTTGTAACCTCAGAGACAGAAGAATCAGCTTTAGTGCACTCTAACTGGTAAGGAGTGCGGTACAGACCTGAGAAGGCAGGCGGGATGCCCACGGGCGGCAGCACCAGAAGGATAGTGAAATGGCCAGTTTGACCCCCTGAGAAGAGCAGGGTCTAAACCAAAAGTGAGGATCTCTAGCCCATAGCACCAGAGCCCAAAAAGTGCACAGAAAACAGCCAGCTGCGAAAAGCGGCAGGGTTGCCCTCTGCCAGAGACAGGGGGCTGGAGACGCAAAGAACTGTTTAAAGGGCCAACGCATAAATTTTTATTTGCAGCCACTTACCCTGGTCCCCGGTTAAGGCAGGGGCAGAGTGGGCTAGAGACGCCTGAGGAGAGACTGGGGAAGGAGGCTTTGGGGAGAGAACTGAGAGAGTAGCCGGTGGGATCTCGGTGCTGACTCATCCCCCATGCGGCAGCAACCATATTGCTTAGGCAAAGACCACTCCCTCTGGGCAGCACCAGCGTCAAATGACCCAATAGCCCCACCCCTAAGTGGGATCCCACCCCACCCTGTGCTGTCTAAGCTGCCTGCTGAGTGCAGAGTGGCAGCCACAGACAGTAGATCCCTGGCTAAAGGGTCTGGCGATACTTGAGGAGAGACTGGGGACAGAGGCTTTGGGGAGAGAACGGAGAGAGTAGCCAGCAGGATCCCAGTGTGGACTCCTCCCCCATAGGGCAGCAACGTGAGAGGACCCAATAACCCCGTCCCCAGGAGGGACTCCACCCCAGCCCAAGCTGTCTAAGACAGCCTGCTGAGTGCAGAGTGAATGGATTAAGAGCTGAAGGAGACAGCCACAAACAGTAGATTACTGGAAGTCTCGAACAGACTGCTTAAGGTCAGACAGAATCAACATGTGACATCATTAGAGGCAGATCCAGAAAGTAAAAACAGTGGTCTCCAACCATACAAGTTCACACCACAAAGTCAGGGAATCAAGACAGATCAACTTAAGAAACAGAAGCAAAAGATAAGAGTCTCACAAATAATGGGAAGACAAAGAAATATCCCCCTCTTGAAGGGAAAGGAGAAATCCCCAGAAAAATAACTAAATGAAATAGAGGCAAGTAACTATCAGATATTGAGTTCCAAACAACGGTTCTAAGAAAGCTCAATGAGCTCAGTGAGCTCAGAGAGAATTACCAAAAACTACAGGGAAACTATGAGGAACTTACTGAAAACTATATCAGCATGAAAAAGGACATAGAACCTATCAAGAAGAGACAAGAAGAAATGAAGAATACAATTTCTGAATTGAAGAACACAGTAGAAGATATCATCAGCAAGCTAAATGAAGCTGAGGACTGAATCAGCGAGCTGGAGGACAAGGTAGAAAAAAAAATCCCAGAAAGAGCAAGAAAATGAAAAAAAACTCAAAAAGCATGAAAAGGCATTGAGGGAAATGCAGGACAACCTGAAATGTAATAATATCCGTATAGTAGGGATACCAGAAGGAGAAGAGGATGAGGAAGGGATAGAGAACCTGTTTGAAAAAGTCATGATGGAAAACTTCCCTAATTGGAGGAGAGAAAAAGTCACACAAGTCCAGGAAGCACAGAGGGTCCCATTCAAGAGGAACCCAATGAGACCCACTCCAAGACACATCATCATGAAAATGGCAAGTATCGAAGACAAACAGAGAATCCTAAAGCAAGCAAGGGAGAAAGGTAGTAACATATAAAGGAGCCCCGGTAAGGCTAGCAGCTGATTTCTCAACAGAAACACTGCAAGCCAGAAGGGAATGGCAAGAAATATTCCAAGTCATGAAAAGCAAAGGCCTGCAACCAAGACTGCTCTACCCAGCAAGCCTCAATTAAAATGGAAGGTGAAATAAGGAGTTTCCCTGACAAAGAAGGCTAAAAGAATACACCTCCACCAAACCAGCACTGCAAAATATGCTAACGGGACTGCTTTAAGATGCAGAAAAAGTTTCTATGAATACCCAGTTCCTTTCAGAGTTGCCAATACTTGATATTACCAATATTTTTAATACTCACTAATCTGATTGTGACAATGATGTTATGGTAATTGTTCCTTTATTATTTGTTGAAACTAAACCTGTTTTAGTATATTTCTTGCCTATTTCTATTATTTTTAAAAAGATTTAAATGACGTTTTGGTATTCTTTATCCATTTATTGATTAAAAGTTTGTAGAACTCCCCCCCCCCATAAAAAGACCCCTACTAACCATGTTTTAGATGTGTTGCCAGTACTTTTCTATTCTATTCCTTGTCCTTTAACTTTTTATATGTATATTACTATATAGTTAAATGTTTAATATAGTCATATTGTCAGTATTTATAGCTTCTGGGTTTGAATATTTTACTTCAGGTCATGAAAAATATTAGTTCTGTTTTCTTCTAAAACTCCTTAGATTCAACATATTGATTTTTATCTCATCTGAATATTTCTTGTATAATGTGTGAAATAGGGCTCTATATTTGTTTTATTTCAAGTAATAGTGGTCCATGCACCTTATTTGTTGAATAAGCCTTATTTTACCCATTGATTTGAAATATCAACTTAATCATATATTACATTGTTAGACAGATATATACATCCATCTCTAGAATGCTCATTATATTTCATTGATCTACTTGATTATTTCTGTGCTGGTGTCATGTTAGTTTAATTGCTGAGACTTTATAATGGTTTTAAATTTTTTAAATATTTTATAATTAACTTTGACATTTATAAAAATAAATAAAATCAACCTGCATTTAAGAAGGAAAGAAAGAAAGAAAGAGAGAGAGAGAGAGAGAAAGATGGAACTCCTACCTTTTGTGACAACATGGATGGAACTGGAGAATATTAAGCTAAGTGAAATAAACCAGTTCATGAAAGAGAAATACCATATTATCCCACCTATAAGTGGACTCTATTCAACAAAATAAACTAATGAACAAAATAAACCACAGGCACGGAAACATGGAGCAGACTGAAAGTGACCAGAGGGGATGGGGAAGGAGGACAATGGTGGAAAGAAGGGGAAGGAACTAGACAAAGAATATGTGCGAATGACCCATGGACATGGACAACAGAGTGGGAATTGACTATGGGAGTAGGGAGTGGGGGTGGGATGGGAGGAAGGGGGTAAAGGGGTAAAAATTGAGACAACTGTCATAGAATAAACATGATTTCTAATTAAAAAAAATAAAAGTAAATCTTGCACCAAAAAAAATTTTTTTTGAACCTGGGTCTTTTAACTCCAAGTCCCAGGCTCTTTCCATGATAGCTAAAATGATCCCATACTGAGGACATTGTTGAGAGGGGAAGGAGTGTTATCAGCCAGGACAACAAACAGAAACTGGGACTGTCCTGGGTAAAGTGGTCCTTGGGTCACCCTAGCTATCGCGCCCTGCGCCCCGATGAACGGCTGGGTGAAAAGGGCACGCAAGGTGAAGGGTAGGGGAGAGGGATAGGAGAGAATCATGCGAGGGGGCCTTCTGAGACTCTCTGGAATCTCTTGCACATTTCCTAGGCATTTAGAAATACTAAATTAAGGTAGAGTCACAAAACAGGCCATTCACTCTTACATTACTTAAGGAAGTACACTTCAGGATGCCTCCATATGAGGTATTTAACTGATCTTTGATCGTAAGTTATAAGCACACTTGAGGTCATTTTACAGTATACTCTTTGTTAGCCTTTGCCTCAGCAGTAATGAAGCGAGTCCTCTTCAATTTTAAAGATGTGTGTTGCAAGAAAGTGAATTTTTTCCAACACCTGTAGTATTCATTAACCTGTTTGAAAGTGGGCCTCATGGTCCCGATTCCATGTTTTGAGAGTCAGTCTTCCAAGTTAAAGCAGAGGGAGTTGCCTAAGCCTCTCTATCTACCACTTTCCCTTTCCTGGGATTCTGGATGGAAGCAGAGCTCAATCATCGTGTTCATGGCTGATTTAAATTTAAAATAGTTTCATGTCAATAGATGCTTCATTAGCGAGGCCTTTCTGAGATGAAAACCGTATGTTGAAATTTTAGTAAGTCACTTTCTGGATGTCTCACTGGCAATCTTTATTTCTGTGTTTATTCATTTACTTTGAAAGACGAAACATTTCAAATGTAAGAAAAGTACATAAAATAATACTATAACGAGTAATTTGTATGTGCAATTAAGATGAGATACATGTTCAAATTTTGCCAGGTTTGTTTCAGATTTTTTTTCAGGTTTTTATAAAAGAATTTACATGGAGCTCACTCCTTTTCCTTCTCACCACCCCCCACCCTTTCTACCCCGCCTCAGCCGTTGTCCCAAACCATATGGTGCATATTCTTCCGAGTCCAGCTCCTTTCCCTCAGCACATTAGGTCTATGAAATTCACCTCTGTTGTTGCATTTACTAGTGGTTCATTCCTTTTTATTGCTTAGTAGTATTCCATTCTATAAATATACCAAAAAGTGTTTACCCAGTCTCCTGCTTTAATCATTGTTAACATGTGGACAAACTTGTTTGACCTGCATATCTCCAATTCCCTCCATCATTGATTATTTTAAAGTGACCAGTCTTTCTATTTTCTGAAATTCTTAGTTGTCTAATTCCCCTGCCTTACTATTGTGTCTGTTAACTCTTGTTCATGATCAGTTATTTCCTGATATGGTTTATGATGTTTGATCATGAGCTTACTTTTAGCAGGATTTTTCCCCTCTAAGAGAATCTCTGTGCCAGAATTGTGGGAATATTCTCTCAGAGAGTTTTGGGTTTTCTTCTTCCAGGTACTCTGGTGATATCACTGGACTTAGATCCTTTTCTTGGGGGGCGGGGTTCTACATCACATCCCCATGACTTCTTTATTTTATAACTGGAAGTTTGTACCTTTTGACTTACCCTTTACCCCGTGCCTCTGTCAACCAGTCTATCCTCTGTTTCTATGGGCTTGGGTTTTTTGTTTGTTTGTTTTTGTTTTTTTTAATTTCACATATAAGTGAGATCGTGTGGTATTTGTCTTTCTCTATTTGACTTATTTCTCTTAGCATAATACCTCAAGGTCCATCCATGTTGCTGTAAATGACAATATTTCATCTTTTTTATGGCTGGAGAATAATCCATTGTGTTATCTATATGTAATTTTCTTTATCCTTTTATCCATTGCCATTGATGAAAACTTAGGTTGTTTCCATATCTTGGCTATTGTAAATAATACTGCAATGAAGATGGGGCTACATATATCTTTTTGAGTTAGGGCTTTCATTTTCTTTGGATAAATATTTGGAAGTGGAATTGCTAGATCAAATGATAGTTTTATTTTTAATTTTTTTTGCGAAACCTCCATACTGTTTTCCATAGTGGCTGTACCAATTTACATTCCCACCAACAGTACACAAGGGTTCCCTTTCCTCCACATCTTTACCAACACTTGTCATTTCTTGTCTTTTGGATAATAGCCATTCTAACAGGTGTGAGGTGATATATCATTGTGGTTTTGATTTGCAGTGGCCTTAGATCTATTTTTATATTGATTTATTGGCTCGGGGTTTCCTTAACTGTATAAATAATGCAAATTCACACCCTAAATTTATGTGAGGCAGAGGCTTAAAGTTGTGAATATTCTAAGGAGACATTTTATTTCCCTAAACAAAGCCCACATAGAAGAAAACCAGCTTTCTTTGTCTCATTGTGACAGTGGGTGGATTGGTAGTTTCTTCCTGGTCTACTCTTTTTCTTTTCTTTTCTTTTTTTAAGATTTTATTTATTTATTTTAGAGATGAGGAGGGAGAGAGAGATACATCAATATGTGGTTGTCTTTAGGATGTCCTCCTTCGGGGACCTGCCTGCAACCCAGGCATGTGCCCTAGACTGGAAATTGAACCAGTGATTCTTTGGTTCACGGTCCGGTACTCAGTCCACTGAGCCACACCAGCCAGGGCTCTGCTCTTTTTCTTAAGGTGTAGTTTTTCATGAGTTTTGGTTTTATGAATGTGTCTTAATTCCAACTGCTATGTTTGGGGAGGTCTAATCCCCCATGGCCTGCCCTCATGTGGGCATTACAACCTGAGGTTACTAAGTAACAAGGTTACTAAGACTAACACCTACCTCATCCTAGGCGGCTTCAGCATCTCCTCATAAGTTTATGTCTGGATTTTCAACTCCTTTTTTGTTTCTGATACCTGGGTAGTTTCCATTTCTCCTTCAAAGTACATAATAAAATGCTTGTTATGTTTTATTCAAAACTTCTGTGTCTTTGTGTTTGGAAAGATTCCCATATTGCTAGGATTTGAAGTTTCTCGTGGAAATCTTAAATAAATTGTTAACGTAGGAGAAAAATTTAAGTCATTTTTGATTAGCATTCTTCAACTCAACTTTGTTACAAATTGGAAACTTGAGAACCAGAGAGATAACACAGCGGGTATCGGGCAGACCAGGGATACGAATTGACTTGTATTTAGGCTGCAGAGTTACGTTATCTCCGCTTTCTGCCGTCTTTCTGCCTGTGTGGAAGTTATACCTGAATTTGATCGTTTTGTGAAGAGTCCTTCCAACTCTGTGACTTTATAATTCCATATTGTCTCCAACATCAATTTCCAGGAAATTCCACCCACAGTTCTGGTATTCTAGTTAACTGTAAGCTATTAGGAGACAGGAGCTATGTCTAGTAAATGCTGCCATATTCTAACATTTACTATAGGAAAATCCACTGAGCTCTCATAACATTCCCAGGTCTACCTTCATTATGGTATTGATGTACAGTGTCACAATTATTGGTCTATCATGTGCCCCTCAATTGTAAGATCTATAAGGGCAGGGACCATCAAATACACTGTAAATACTCAGTAAATATTGAATAAATGAATGAATTTAATCGATTCCTCACACTGTTACCAGCAATATCTTCCTAAAAACATGATATTCATGACTTTCATTGCCTTTTTAAGTTCATTTCCTGCTTCTCGTCACCTTACACCATGGCCACAATGTACTACTGGAACACATTCTTTATTTTGGCTTCTGTTTCTACCATCCCCTTATTTTAAAATGCCCTTCCTCCAGATCTTGGCTTATTGAAATCTTTTTCCCTCTTCAAGAATGTGCTATCTCAGATGCCACTTCTTTCTTGAAACCTTCTGAGACTCCCAAGCGTCCTCCTTTTTCTGTGTCTCTCCAGCATATTACATAGATTTCCTTTGAGCATTCATGCCATTCTGCCCAGTATTATAGTTAACTTTTATTCATATGTCTTCTCTCCAGATTATAAGTTCCTTAAATTTAAGAACCTTCATGTCTTCTCTATACCTAGTACAATGCCTTGTATATGATGAATGCTTAACATACTGAATTTAAATGAATTTGAGATGAAAACTTGCCTTCTTGGGTTCCAGTGGCCCTCCACTCTTGGCATGTAATTTCCTTTCTTCTACCTGGGAACTAAGACTTTAAAGATAGTACTTATGTTCCCTACAGGTAGCCTATGACATGGGGGATTATTACCATGCCATTCCATGGCTGGAGGAGGCTGTCAGCCTCTTCCGAGGATCTTATGGAGAATGGAATACAGAAGATGAGGCAAGTCTGGAGGATGCCTTGGATCACTTGGCCTTTGCCTATTTCCAGGTAGGGAAGTAAGTGAGACTCACTGCTTTCATCACAATAAATGTAATGCTTTACAATTTTCTAAGTATTGTCATGTCTCTTAATTTATCTTATCTTCCCAACAGGACCACATGTGAGTCAAGCAGGGCAGTTGTTTTATTATTTCCATATTTCACATGTGAGTAAACTAAATCTCCAAAAAAAATTCCTAATTCGTCATGAAGTTCACAGAGCTGGGATGAGAGCCCAGGTCTGTCCGCCTCTTAGCCCAGTGCTCTTTCCAATGCACTGACCACGTTAAAATCATCCTCTCTCACGTAAGAGGTAGTCTCTCACCTGTAGCAGCAACAGCTGCCTCCACAAATGTTTAATGGGTTCATGGTCAATGTAAATCACTCTTTGACACTCTCAACAACTCATAACTCTTCATAATATTATGCCATGATATTGCAAATGTCCAAGGAAGAAGTTTGATTGCTGTCCTCTTCCATCTGCAATGGAGCCCAACTGTAACGTGACTACGGTCCAGAGAGAGCTAGCCTCAGGGGTCCCAAGAGCAGCTCAGTGTCTCCTCCAGGTGTTTTTCCTTGATATGGCTGATCTGAAACCTGTTGTGCTTCGTGTGGAAGCTGATTTCCCTAAATATGGGAGCTGCCATCCTTCGGTAAAACTAATCCTATTTCCCAACAGATTGTACAGTCGTTAAGGATGGGCTTAAGAAGTCACTACAGAGCCAATTCCCAAGAGTTTCCAAGGCTAATAAACCAGTTCTACTCCCTACAGTCCTTTTTCTTTCCCTCTTTTCCTGAGAAAAGGGAGGAGGACGTGGGTGGTCCAACCCCACATGTTGCTCCCAAAACATATCTATTCTCAGTGCGGGAAATAGTCTTGTTCCCCTCATGGAAGTTTCTGGTAAGTGGTTCTTTGTTGTAAAACTTTCCAGAGTGCCACTCCCAACTTTCCTGCTCAATTGCTACATACTAAAACTGAAATAGAATCACTGTCATGCAACAAAGGACAGGAAGTAATTTAATTTTAATAGAGGAAGAAAATGGAGAATTGCCACGGAAAGACTCAAAGAAGATAAACTGAAACAACTTACCCTGAAAGATGGGTTTTAAATCGAGGGACTGATTATTAATTCTGCTGCCCATGCCTCCCCCACCCCCACCCCATGATGACTTAAATTTCCCCTCTACTCACTGGTAAAGTCTCTCTTTCCATAATCATGCTTTGCCTGGTCAATTTTATCCATCTTACAAGGCATCGCTCAAATGTTACCTACCTTGTGAAATCTTCCTTAGTTCCCCTGAGAGTCCACAGATTCTCCTTCTTTGTGCTCTTACAGCACAACTTTTTATGCAGCAGTAATAGAACACATAAGGCATTGTCTTACAGACGTTTTATGTTCTCCTTTTACTGACAGTAAATTAGAGGTAAATGTCTCTCCATGGGTCTTTCATTATCATGTGAAATGATATATTGTATATTTATGTATATGTAATTTATGTATATGGAATGGTATATATACATATGCGTATATATGAAAAATCCTATAATTATATAATTATACATATTTTTTCATGCTAGATTTTAGTAAAAAAAATATTTCAGTAACTGCTAATAATAAGAGACAATAGAGTATAGTAGGTAAACCCTAGGCTCTGAAATCAGATAGACCTAGATGAAAATTCTGTGAAAACTTGGGCGACTTATTCCTTGGACCTTGGTTTTCTTATCTTTAAAATGGGAATAATAATGATGTTATTAGGGAGGAAAAATAATTTTCCTTCTAACCTTCTGAGTTCTTGGCTGAGGCCTTCCTATAATAAAAAAGATTAACAAGAGGAAAATAAACAGAAGTTTACTAACACATGTACCTCATGTATACATGGGATATACCTGGGGAAGAATGAGTAACTCTCTGAGGTGACTTAAGTTACCACCTTAAATGTCACCTTCAGCTTCCAGCAAGTAATAGTGTAATAACTGTGTATGGTGTCAGGTGGGGACTAGACTTCTTGGGGAGATTGCTTTGTAAGCTATATAAATATCTCATCACCCTGTCGTATACCTGAAATTAATACAATATTGTATGTCAACTGTAATTGGAAAGTGAAAATAAAATTTTAAAAAACTTCATCTTCACCTAAAGAAAAGAAAGCAAGCTATGGGGAGAGGCAAGTTATGGGAGGTTACCCAGAAAACCAGGATAAACCAGGGTAAAGTTATGCAGATTTTAATGGGTGCCTTCTCCATGGATAAGATTCTCTTGTGACTTAGAGTCATCCTTCCCTGCCTGGTCCAGTGAGAGAGATACTTACAAATGGAGAGTCCCTTTGTGTCCCTTACAACAGAGAAACATCTGCTCTGGTTTTCAGAACTTCTCCGCTGTGTGCCCTTTCTCAAAATAATTAGTGTAAAATAATCCTTATGCCAAAGAAGCATATTATGAGTTGGCATATTCTACTGCCCTTCCTGCTCACCTCACAGAGTTGTGAGGACTAAATAAGCGCATACATGTAAAGCCCTTAACATAATTCATGATATATATGCACTCAATAAATGGAAGCAATTATTATAATATTGTACCCTGCAAGTGTATGTTCTCTTTTTCATTTAACAGTACTTAATATACGTATTTTCAAAGAAATTTAGCCAAAACGTCAAAAGTAACTCTAACATTGTTCTTGATAAAATGTAACTTTATCTTGTGAAAAAAACCTTCATTTTAAAAATACATAAAATTAGCCCTGGCTCGTGTGGCTCAGTGAATTGAGCACGAGCCTGCGAACCAAAGCATCACTGGTTCAATTCCCAGTCAGGGCACAGGTCTGGGTAGCAGGCCAGGTCCCCAGTAGGTGGTGCGGGAGAGTCAACCACACATTGATGTTTCCTCCCTCTCTTTCTCCCTCCCTTCCCCTGTCTCTAAAAATAAATAAAACAATCTTTAAAAACAAAAATATGTAAAATTACATTTTAGTTCTCTTCATCTCAAAAGAGTTTGAAAAACTATAACCCTTAGTTAATACCTGACGTTATAAAATATTCTTGGATTACTTAACTATCCCTCTGTTAAGTGTAAAACAAAATAATTCATGATATTAAATAATGAGAAATAACCTGTGTGTCCAGCAATAGTGGAATGGTTAGGTGATCTGTAATGCACCTTCTCAATGAAATAAAATGCAGCCATAAAAAAATGCTCTCTCTCTCAAAAACCCATATTCCTAGCAGCACTGTTCATAACAGCCAAGAGACAGAAACAGCCTAAGGATGAATGGAGAAACAAAAGGTGGTATATACATACAATGGAATATTATTCAATTTTAAAAAAGAAGGAAATCTGACACATGCTACAACATAGGTGAACCTAAGGACATTATTCTAAAGAATATAAGCCAGTCACAAAGAGACAAATACTGTATGATTCCACTTATATGTGGTATCTAGAGAGTCAGCTTCACAGAGACAAAGTAGCATGGCGGTTACCACGGGCCAAGGGGAAGGGTGCACTGGGAGTCATTTAATGGGTACAGACTTTCAGTTTTGCAAGATGAAAAAATTCTGGCAATTAGTTGTACAACAATGTGAATATATTTAATTTTACAGAACTGAACATTTAGAAATGGCTAAGGTGGTAAATTTATTTTATGTTTTTTTTAACCACAATTAAAAATAATAATTAAAAAATGCTGACTCTGAAGACTATTTTTGTAATGATATAAAAAAAATTCCTGCTCTGGCCAGGTGGCTCAGTTGATTGGAGCATTGTCTTGTACACCAAAAGGTTTACAGGTTCAATTCCTGATCAGGTCACATACCTAGGTTGTGGGTTCAATCCCTGGTCAGAACATGTACGGAAGGCAACCAATCGATGTTTCTCTCTCACATTGATGTTTTCCTCTGTCTTGCTGTCTCTATCTCCTTTTCCCTCTCTCTAGAATCAATAAAAATATATATATAACTTAGGTGAGAATTTAAAAAAAATTCCTGATGGCAATGTTGAGTGAAACAATCAGGATATGAAGATGTATAAGAAACATGATTATAACTATGTCAAGACTCTGTGTTATCCAGAGTGCTTGGAGTGTCTGGGTTTCAGTGGAGCATTGTTTTTTAAATTTCTCCTATGTTTTAGAATGTGCTTATTATTGCTTTTATCACTAAAAAGAAATTCCTAATATGCAAAAATAAAATGAGCAGAAGGAAATATTGTTCTACCAGTTCATCATCACCCCACAGCACCCAGAGCAGGATGGCGGCCCACCTACACCTGGTTCAGTTCCCCAGTTTGTCTGTAAAGTCCCTTTTACTTTTGACCATGTGTAGCCAATGGCTGAACGGCTACAGGGAGAGTTCATTACGATGCAGGGGGAATGTTTCAGGTTGAGTTCTTCCTTTGTCTCCATCCCATAACTTTGTAAACTCTAGAAAATATTGAGCCTGAAGAAAAAAAATTATATTTTTACTAAAGGTTTTATATTTTCATATTAAGTTTAATAATGAAATATACCCAAATAACACCACCTTGCAATTACAGGGTTTTGTATGCTTTAGGATTTGAGAATATTTTAAGAAAATTTATTTTCATTTATTTTTTTACCTTCCCTGGTAAGGGTGGTAATAAGTCACTTGTAAACGAGGTAACTGAGGAGCCCTAATTTACATCAGGGCTGCAAATCCTCAAATAGGACAGAGAACTTCCACATTCCTAGTCTGTTGTTCATTTCAATGAGTCTTTTTATCTCCTTGTGGTAAGAATATTTTTGAAAATCCACTGATTGATTTGGTCAGAGAAGACACCCTCAGTGCAGTTAACTCTTTCTTTTACTTACTTTCTTTCTTTTTCTTTCTTTTTTTTTTTTTTGCAGGCGGGAAATGTTTCATGTGCCCTCAGCCTCTCCCGAGAGTTTCTTCTCTACAGTACGTAATGGTAAAAGATAAGCACAGGTCTGGTTTACTGGGAAATCCTTCTGCTCTTGGCCTTAAATCTATGCAAGTGAAATAGAGCTCTCTATTTTTATTTTCCTAATTTCATAATCCAAGTCACATTTCTAATTTTGGATTAAATTTCACATACTGATCAATGCATGGGGGAGGATTTTTAAGTTAGTTGCAAAATGCTAAGAAGATATCAACCTGTCCTTTTCCTCCTCCACCCCCAAACAGTTATATATTAATGTTGCTTCAAAGGGGAACAGGTCCTGAATGGGAGCCAGTTTCTTCAGGGACAACTGAAGACCCAGGTTTGGGGAGGAGACCTGGGAACACGTGCAGTCAATGGGAGCTGTGTGTGCAAGGAGAGGTGACTCCGCAGGGTCATTTACCACAGCGGCTTAGAAAGAGATATCAGTTCTTCCCTTTAAACTCAGGGCTCAATTTGCTCTGCAAGCATCCTGCCCATTTAGCATAGAATTCAGCTTTGACTCTCACCAGAGTTGAACAAGATGAAGACTTGCTAGCTTAGCTCTCTGCTTGGATATTTTTGCTTAAAATTTTGGTAGTGAGCCTTGGTCCTGGTAGCTCAGTTGGTTAGAGCATCATCCCAATACACAAAGGTTGAGGTTTTAATCTCCAGTCAGGGCACATACAAGAAGCAACAAATGAATACATAAGTAAGTGGAACAACAAATCCACTTATCTCCCCCCTCCCTAAAATCCATAAAAATAAAACATTTTAAAAATTACAAAAATAAAATTTTGGTGGTAGATGGCTTCCCAGATTTTCCTTTAATAAGATCTTTAGATACTACAGTGAGATACAAAATCACTATAATGTTTTAATATTTATAAAGTACATCATGTAAGACTTTACAATTCTATTTATTTATCACTTTTTAAAGGATATTTTATTGATTATGCTATTACGATTGTCCCATTTTTTTCTCCCCTTTACCCGCTTCCGCCCTGTACCCTCCTTCCCTTCAGCATTCTCCCTCTTAGTCCATGTCCATGGGTCATACATGTAAGTTCTTTGGCTTTTCCATTTCCTATACTATTCTTAACCTCCCCCTGTCTATTTTGTACCTGCCAATTTAAATTTCTTATTCCCTGTACCTTTTCCCCATTTTTCCCCCTCCCCTCCCCACTGATAACCCTCCATGGGATCTCCATTTCTGTGATTCTGTTCCTGTTCTAGTTGTTTGCTTAGTGTGTTTTTGTTTTCTTTGAGGTTCCGTTGTTGATAATGAATCCACTTAGTAATGTTATTCCATTATGATAATTTGACAAATGGTAGGAGAAGGAAGTAGCTCTATGGTCTGGAAACACACGGGCAATTAGCGATGCAGGCAAAATGAGAACCCAATGTCCCTTTATCTCTTTGTGTTTGGCCTGTTAAAATCCCCGTGTCTCCCAGAGAACCCAAATTGTGCACTGTTATAGGTGGACAAGCAAGACATAGCAAACTGAGATTCCCAGTTCCATTTCTGCCTTTGCGTTATTTTCATTGGTGTTTTGGGTTCAACATTTCCATTCTTCAAAATTTCATTTCTTGTTAGAAAAGGATAGTAATTTCTGTCCCCTCCTTTGCCATGGCAGAGGTGGTGGTTAGAAGCAGATTGAGCTCCACAGAGAAAGCTGCTTTGGAGGCATTAGAGCAATTCAGCACCTTCTTCTGAGATGCACTGAGAAATACACAGAGACTAGCAGGCCAGGGGTAGCTGCCAACCCACAGGACATCTTGCAGCCAAAGTGGGTATAAATGAGACACAAGACTCTTGCAGGAACCCAGGCTAGATCCAAAGCTGGAACCCCTTTGTCCCATACTGCTCTGCTCTGTGTCTAGGCCAGTTAGGAATTTTGAAGGATCTAGTAGAGCCGGGAATTAATGAGCTTCCAGTTCTCCAGGAAGGATAGGCTGGGTCTCTGCTTTAGGCTGTGGCTCTCTCGACTTCTCTTTCATAGCACTTGCTTGTCATGTTTTGTTGTAACTGGTTATTTAATGTCCCGTTTCTGCATTAGACTGTAAACTTTAGGAAGTTAGACTCTAGCACCTTCAGATCTGTCAGGCCCAACTCGATCTTTTTAAAATACCAGGTATTCTTCTGGGAGGGAGGGCCTTACATCCTCAGTACGTGGACACATTCAAGGTGTCCAGGTGCTGCTCGTGTGCGACAGCGAAGCTGTAGGAAACCTTAGCAGCCCTCCCTGGGGCCGCTGTTTGTCGATCTGTATTACTCTCTGCTCTGATTTCCCCCAGGCCCAGATAATAAGAGGATGGCCAGGAATGTCCTGAAATATGAAAAGCTCTTGGCCGAGAGCCCCAGCCAGGCAGCAGCGGAGGCTGTCATCCGGAGGCCCAACGTACCCCACCTGCAGACCAGGGACGCCTATGAAGAGTTATGTCAGACCCTGGGCTCCCAGGTAGGGTTTTCCAGGGAAACAGAAAAGGGGAACCAGCTTGGCTAGTGGCACATTTTGAGGAAAAAGGCTATAAAAATGCAGTGATGGTATTCTGAGTCTCCCATATTCCACTTGTTTTTATGCTGTAGTTCCCCTAATTAGTGTGGGCTCCTAGCCCTTTCCTCTTATGCTGATTCTAGCCTTTCCTTCCAGCCTACTCACTACCAGGTGCCTAGCCTCTACTGCTCCTATGAGACCAGTGCCAGCCCCTACCTGCTGCTCCAGCCCATCCGGAAGGAGGTCATCCACCTGGAGCCCTATGTTGTTCTTTTCCATGACTTCGTCAGTGACCTGGAGGCTCAGAAAATTAGAGGACTTGCAGAACCATGGGTGAGTGTCCACAAAGCCTGCCAAGAACTTTTGTGTCTTCACACGCCTGGTATTCAGGAGTATGTGAATAAGCAGCCTGAACAATTGGGCATTTCGTCAGCCTAGGAGTTCAGAATGACAGCCATTCCGTGGAACTAATCAATGGGCAAAAAAAATCACAGTAGTGGTTGCCTCTTAAGGGAGGGGTTTGGCTGGGAAAAGGTACAGGGGGATTTCCTGGGGTATTGAAAATGCGCTCTCAATATCTTCTTATGCATATGGAGTACATAGCTGTAAGCATTTGTCAAAACTTGCCAAATGGTACACTTGAGGTCTGTGCATATCATTGTGTATATATATTTTATCCTCACCCGAGGACACCTTCTCATTGCCTTCAGAGAGAGAGGGAGGGTTGGGGTGGGGGGAGCAGAGAGAGAGAGAAAGAGAAGCATCAGTTGATTGCCTTCTCGGGCACGCCCTGACTGGAGATTGAACCCACAAGCTAGGTGTGCGGCCTGACCAGGAATCAGACCCTTGACCTTTTGGTTTACAGGATGGCACTCCAACCAACTGAGCCACACTGGCCAGGGCTCATTGTATATAAATTGAACATAGAAAAAATATCCCCCCAAAATGTTCATCATTCCATGTAACTGGTAGAAAAAAAGAAAAGGGTGAAATGACAGGGGCAAGAGTAACGTCTGGGTCCAGATTTACAGAATTACAGAGAGGAAAGATTATCTAGTTCAAGTTTATTATCTTGCTAAAGGGGAAAATGAGGCCTAGAGAGGGGAAGGGACTTGATTAAGTTTACACATGTAATTAGAGCCAGAAGAGAAGGAGGCTTCTGTAATGTTTTTGGTCCTGCTCCTAAACCAAGTAGATGCCCTTGGAAAAGCCTCTTTCTTTCCTTGGACCTGTTTTCCCAGCTAAATGCCCTTCTAGTCCCTTCCCCTCTCTGGGCCTCATTTTCCCCCTTAGCAAGATAATAAACTTGAACTAGATAATCTTTCCTCTCTGTAATTTTGTAAATCTGGACCCAGATGTTACTCTTGCCCCTGTCATTTCACCCTTTTCTTTTCTTCTATCAGTTACATGGAATGATGAAGCGAAACATCAACTGGTTGCCTCCTATACATACCCTTCTCTATTTTTCTCTTCCTCTCTCTCTAAAATCAATAAACCTATCCTTAGGTGAGGATTTTTTTTTTTAAGTGAAACTTCCTTCCAAGGAAAGGCAGTTGATTGAGGACTTGATTGGGAAGAGGAAGAAACAGAGAAGGCTTCCCTGTGGACGTGAAATTCATCACAGTGACAAGTCAGCAAAGGGTCTTCCAGGAAGTCAGCCGTCCGTGCAGGGACGTGAGCTGCAGTGTGTTCAGAGAATGGGGAAGCGCGGTGGCTGATGTGTGCCAGCGGCGGCATGGGCAGAAGATGAGGCTACTTGGAGAGACACCATTAGAAGTGCTGTCAATACCGTGCTGGGGAATTTGGCTTTTATCCCAGAGGCAGGGGGAAAGCTGTCAGACAGTTTTAAACAGGAGAGTGGCAAGACTGGGTCTGCAGATTTTAAGGCAAATTCTGACAGCAGACACGGACTAGGGGGGAGAAGAGTAGCAATAATCATTTCACCTAAAAGCCAATCCGGTGAAGTATAGAATCTTTGCAGAGAAGATTTTTGCGATGATTAAGCTCCACTGGGGAGCTGAAGGATGTATTTTCAATGGCTTCAGCTTCTCAGTGAGCCAGCAGGAGGGAGCACTTGGCCAGCAGCTGCTTTTTCCTGAGTACCGCTGTGTTGCCATGGTAACAGGACACAGGCAGCTCACCGGGCCAGGTCATCTACTTGGCATGCACAGACCTTGCCACACTCCCTTCCCCGAGAAGTGTCTTGCTGGGGTGGCTGCTCCCTGTCTGCTCTTTGGCTCTGCCAGGAGTGAGCCGCGTGGTGGCAGCTGCCCCACAGGAGCTGAACACAGACGCCTCAGTGGCTTGTGTTGAACTTATCTGCTTCCTAGCCGTGTCCCTTTCCCAAAGAACGCTCTCTTGTCACCCACTGCCCCTCCGCACCCACATCCTGTCCATACATAAAGACTCGGTTGAAACCCCACGCTCCCACTGGCGCACCAGCCCTGACCACTCCCGCCTGCTTTCATTGATTCTTTTGGTAGAAACATTTTTCAGGGTCCTTTCTGGGGGCCACATACAATAACCTCTCTCTTTTCTGAACTAAAAGCCCTGTCACTAGTTGTTTGGTATTTGCACTTATTCTGCCATTTATGTGTCTTCTGGTACCACTAACAGTTTCATGGGCGAGCATCCTATAAATTAGCTGGGATCATATGCTGTCCTTCCTGAAATGCCTAGCCCTGTATTATACTGGTTGCAACCAGAACAATCTTCACAGGGTTGAATCTGACCGTGTCAGGCGCTTGCTTAAACTCTCTAATGGGTCACTTAGAATGATTACCAGCTCCTTGGCCTGGCTGCTGCCAACCCCTTCCGTAGCATGTCCCCCTTGCACCCAGGACCCCAGCTGCACTAAACTTGCATCTCCACACACACGTCATACCATCACCGGCCTCCTCACACATTCTCCTCTGTACCTAAAATGTTCTTGTCTTGGCCTCTTTTCAACTGCATGATTCCAGTTATATTTTTGGCATCCTGGGAAGCCTTCCTGTCCCCTATAAGAATGGGCTAGATGCTCCTTCTCAATGTTTTCATAGTGCCCTGTACTTGCCCCTTCGGGTGCCATTGCATGACCTATATATGTTGTATTTCCAGTGCCTAGCACAGTGCTCTGCACAGAGAACAACCAATAAGTATTTGTTCCCCAAAATGAATGACTTGTAGGTGTACAATAATTGTCAAAAGAATTTTGTGCAAGATGGCTCATTAATGGAGGGTGTGGGGAAGCAGAGATTCCCTAGGATTGGTTTTTAAAACCACTGCTGTTGCACTAAGAGAGCAGAAGGGAGCATCTCTCCTTGACGAGCCTCTCCTCTCTCCTATGAATGACTTGGAGACAGCGCTGGGAACTAAGGCAAAGGCTTAGACAGGCACGACCAGTCACCAGCTAATTTCCTGCATCCTGATATTGTACAGTAATGGGAGCTGCCAAGAATGTGTTGTTCAAATGCTGCATTTTTTAGCTGGGAAAACAGGTCCAAGGAAAGAAAGAGGCTTTTCCAAGGGCATCTACCTGGTTTAGGAGCAGGACCAATAACATTACAGAAGGCTCCAAGAAGGGAAAAGTTTTGTCTCATGCAGTTCCTTGCCTCGTGTTCTGCTCTGACGGCATGTGAGGTACCAGGGCTGGGTCTTTAGGCAAAAGACTGTTCACCTCCCCGCTATTGAGCGCCCACTCCCTGCCAGGCCTTCCCTAGGCCCAGGGGCGGAGGCAGTGGTGGTGGGGGCAGGGGAGATGATGCAGCACTGACAAAAGACCAAGTCTGTGCCCTTGTGGAGCAGAAGAAGACACATCGTTGTGCAAATAAATAGTACCTCTTTTTTCTGTCCCTTGTACAGTACCTTTGCAATTAGAATCCACTTTAATTAAAAATAATGTAAATGTTATGTCCAGACATTGAGTTAAATTAGTGACTTCAGACCTGTTTGCTTCCTCCCCTCGCCCACAGTCAAGGCAGTTGTAGCAAACAGATCTCGATTCTCTGTAAGAAGAGCTTTTGTTAGAGTTGTTCAGAAGAAATAGGCTCCCTCTGAGGGTGGAAGGTTTCCTGTCGTTGGTGGTGGTCATTTAATTTAACAAACACTGAGAGCTTACCATCAGGCGGGCCCTGTGCCAGACGGGGGCGGGGGTGGGGGGCAGAGAGGAATGAGAAACAGCCCTTTTTCTTACAGAACTCTCAGCCTTGCAGATGCAAAGGGATTCAGATATCACTGTTTCAAATCAACAGACTTTCACTGAGTGCTTACTGTCTACCAGACTGGATGCTTAGATTTTTTGGTCACTTCTTATTTTTTATTTTCAAGGTTGGTAAGTATCACTTAATTAGTAGCATGTGCAGGCTTTCACTTGGCAGGGACTGGTGATAGTTAGTTAGGTTAATGCTTAGAGAGGGGAAGGCCTGTCTATGGGAACGACAGAGCTCTTCCCTCCGCATCGTAACTACCCGGACTTCCTTTTCCCTTCTTCCCATCAGCTGCAGAGATCTGTGGTGGCATCGGGCGAAAAGCAGTTACCAGTGGAGTACCGCATCAGCAAAAGGTAAGAGGGGTCCTTCCTTGTCAGGAGCTCCGGTCTCGGCTGCTGCCTGCCCTCGGGCCGGCGGCACAGCCGACAGAAGGCCAGCAGCAGCCTTTCAGGTGCCTTCAGAGATGCTGCTGGAGAACCTGTAGTTCATGGCTATATCTGTACATGAGGGAGAAATTCCCACTCCCCTCACCCAAAGGCCTTTCACAGGTTGCTATCTTGTCTGAGGAGTTAACCAGGAGGCTATTAGGGAAACCCTGGAAAAAGCTCCTGTGCCCTAATGAAAAAAATAAGTGTGTCCTTGCTCTAACCAGGATTGTTTTTCCAGAGAATACAGTCCCATCCCTATTTGTAATTTGATTTTATAAGATTCCATTCCCACCTACTGACTCATATTCAAAGCATGACTTTCCAACATTTGAGCAAGAATGACCAGACTCTCTGGACAGGGCGGCCTCTCTGGAGGGGCAGATTGAGCTGCGAGAGCCCGGCAGTATCCCGTCCCTCCACCCCGGCCCCTCCCCCTGCCACTGCAGTGCTTTTTTTGCACTGGCAGGACAGGACTGATGATATAGTAAGAAGACGGTCCCCATCGCAGCCACAGGAGACAGGATGACCACATCCTTGGGGCGAGGCCAGGCCTCAGGCTGGGTGGGTAGTGTCTGTTGTCTGGGAAGTGAGGTGAGCGAGGAAAGCTTTGATCTGGAATCATCTGGCTCAGCTTATATGGTCTGGTCCGTCCATTCACGGATCTTTCACATTAGGAGTCATCCTCTAAGCTTTGGAGGGCACGTATGACCCCAGCTTTGTTGCTTTCCTCTCTGACATCCGAGTGCCAAAGAGAAAATGAATGTTTTAGGGCAGTAGGTTTCTTTACTTTTCAGGTAAAGAAACAGATGCTCGTTACCTCCTCATCCTTCCCATCACCCTGCCCCCTCTTTGAATTTTGGTTCCGTCCTCACTTCACTGTAACTTGTCTCTCGAAGGCCACCAGTGAACTTCTAATTGTCAGATCGTGTTTCTCCCGCAAACCTTCACTGACCATCCATTACTCACAAAGTAAAGAGCAGTTTTCTGAACCCAGTGTTGCAGCTTTGTACAACGTGGCTGGAGCCCGCTGGTGCAGCATTATGTCCTATTACTCGTTTTCACATTTGTACACACTAGGTATTGTCACCCCTCCGTGTCTGTGCTTACGCTGTTTCGTCATCCTGCAATACCCCGATATCTGTACCATCTATTGACATTTTATGCGTCCTTTAATATCTGGCCTGCATGTCACCATCTTACCGTGGTGCCCCAGGCAGAATAGTCTCCTTCCTTTGTGCTCCCCGGCACTTTCTTGTAAAGACTGGTCCTCATTTTTCACCCTGCCTTGATCTGTACTCAGTTATATTTGGGTAATTTCTCCCATGAGATTTCTGATGCTACAGCTTTGTCTTGGGTGTCTTTTAAACCTAAAATCACATAGCATAGTGCTTCACATGCACTCCCTATGAAAGAATGAACAAACTAATCCAAAATTTAAAGAGCAAAGACTTGGTCTTCCCATCTCATGCTGAGGCTCTTCTCCCAGAGCCTTGTCTCCCAGGAGACTCACTTCTTCACTCCCCGGGACCGTCATTCTGCTCCTAGATCCTCCGCTTTGTCAGAACCTCAACAAGACATTCAGGAAAAGAGACTGAACTTTGCTCTTTGGCATTTGACCTATCCTGCTTTGTCTTGGAGTGGAGCAGAAGGACAGAGATTTTTCTGTGTTTTACTGCAACTTCTAACATGCAGCTTACACACCATCTTCATAGGTATAGACTCTTACAATCTTCTTAAGTCTGTGAAGTAGATATTATTATCATCCCCATTTTATAGATGAGTACAGTACAGCTTAGGAAGGTTTAAGGTTAAGTGCCTGACGAAAGGTCACATGGAGGATCAGGCACTGCTCCTACTTCTTTGAACCCAAAGCTTTTCCATTGCTCAACAGCTGTTGACACGTCTCTAAAAGAGCTGTTTTAAAGGCAGGTTTTTGTCTTTTTCCTCTTTGCATCCCCATGCCTTGTGCTTTGAACCTTCACTCTTCAAAGCACCTAGGACGAGCCTGGCATTCAGTGAGCCTCAGAGAATGCCTGTTGAATGAACGAAGGGGTGAATGTTAAGGCAGAGCATGACGTGGCCTGGGCAGACATAGCATGAGGGGAGCGAAGGTAATGAAGCATCCATGTCTATCCTCCTGTCCTCCCTCTCTCCCCTCCTCTGGCAGTTGACATCTTTCATTCATTTGTTCACAGATATTTTTTTCATTTCTGGCATCATATCACTAATGTTCCAATCTCTGATTCGTTTTAGTGCCTGGCTGAAGGACACCGTTGACCCAATGCTGGTGACCCTTGACCATCGCATTGCTGCCCTCACAGGCCTCAATATCCGGCCTCCCTACGCAGAGTACCTCCAGGTGGTGAACTATGGGATCGGAGGGCACTATGAGCCGCACTTTGACCATGCTACGGTAACTGCGGGCTCAGTGACCAAATCCTGGGTGGGGAGGCAGAGTGTTATCTATTTTGCTGAGGCAGAGCTCTTGTAGGAATCCCACGGAATGCCAAGTGAAATTCTAGTATAAAGGTTCTTGTTCCAGGAAGATCTGGAGGCCTCCGTTTCAAGCTGATTTCTGGTGACTCATTTTCTGATATGCCCCCACCTGCCTGTCTGCAATTTGCTGGTGGGGCGGGGGGAAGAATGCAGACTGCCCTAGAGTCTTCTGTCCTGCTTCACTCAGGGACTTCCCAGGGAACATTGTCTTTCCTCCAGTCACTCTCTTTACTTACCTTTTTATGATTCTATTTGTATGAAATTTCTAGAAAAGGCAAAACTAAAGAGACAGAAAGTAGATCAGAGGTTGCCCAGTACTGGGGGTCGGAGTGGAGGCTGGCTGCAGACAGACGTGGGGAGGCTCAGCGGACAGCAGTGTTCTAACGGCGGCTTGGTGGGGCGGTCGCACAGCTGTGAAAACTCACTAAAACTCGCTGACCGGTACACTCTCACTGGGTGAATTTCATCACATATAAATTATGTCTCAAACTGTTCTATGACAAAAGGGGATGTGTCTCTTCAACAAGTAATTGGGAACTCCAGTCTTATGACTTGCTATTACTACAGAATAATTATCTGTAATATTTTGTATGTTCACTTCTTTATTTAACCAAGGTGCAGTGAACCCCTCATAGAGTACTTCCATTACTGTCAAGGAATTCTGTTTTATAAATGTCTGATAAATTAGTAAAAAAAAAAAAAAGTATATATATATATATATATATAGATATATATATAGATATATAGATAGATAGTACCAAAAAGCACAGATGGACACAACTAGGTGTAGGTCAAGGCTACCTCCCATCTGTGACACCCCCATTTTTCTCCTCCCTGTACTATGGTAAAATCCTGGCCATCACTCTGGTGCAAACTGTGTAAAATAATGATATGTTTTATTTTTGTCTCAGTCACCAAGCAGCCCGCTGTACAGAATGAAGTCTGGGAACCGAGTTGCAACATTTATGATCTATGTGAGTCTTGCTCTGAACCAGACCTTCTTACTTAATGACAATTTATGTTTCACTCTTATGGTTTTCAAAGTAGTTTCAGATGTTGATAGAATCTGGTACTTCCAGCTGAAAAGCTCCAGGATTTTTGTGAATTTCAGGCAGTATTTTTGTTAAGCGTTAAAGAAGTACAAATCAAGAGTCCTGGTCTCAGAGAGTTTCCAGTGTGTCAAGCTAAATATGACCTTGTCCTAGGCAGTGATTAAGATGGGAAGTGGGGTTACCTTGAAGGCTAGGAGATCCTGGGACCTGGAAACCACAAGAAAAGTTTGTGGAGCTGTGAGGGGAAAGAGAAGAAAAACAAGGTATCTGAGATTACAGGAAGCAAGAACAGAGATGCCTACAGAGAAATTCAGTTAAGTGCTGCTCTCTCATAAGTAGTGAAAATTCTTTTCCTTATCTCCCTGTAAAATCTACATTTCACCTTAAAAAGCAAATTGGCCTCCTCTCCTAATTTATGACCTGATTCTACAGGATTTGGTACCAGTCTTTATGATCGCCCCAATCTCCTTCCCTTCCAATCCTGGGTTTTATAGACAGTTCAGAATTTCAATCATCTGTCGCTCAGATTACGAGAGATATATTACTATTAATTGAGGGGATAAGCATGCTAAACATAAGAGCTCTGCTTAACCCCTAAAGATGAAGTCCTGTTTCCAGGCTATTAGGATAGCACATGCCCCCACCCTAGCGTTCCCTCTTTTCTTAGTGCTGTCTCTGATCACAGCCAAGTAAGGGCCATCAGAGGCCGGGACTCTGTAGACTTCAATGTAGACTTTTAACATGTTCTTCCTGTGGCTCGGTTTTACAGCTCCTACAGAACTGGAAGCCTGCCACTCAAGTGGCGTTTGGCCTCTAGTGGTCATTCTGAACATTCTGATCAGGCACAGAGGGAAGGGATGGGTCTTGAATTGGCAGTTGGTTGCATCCCTGGTTGATGACTCAAGCTGGCATGGGAGCTCACAGTGAAGAATATTGATATCAACCAAAGAATAAGACCTCTCAGGGCCAATATCTGGTTTTTTTTTTAATTTTTAAAAAAGATTATTTATTTTTAGACAGAGGGGAAGGGAGGGAGAAAGAAAAGGAGAGCAACATCAATGTGCAGTTGGCTTTTGCGTGCCCCTTACTGTGGACCTGGCCTGTAACCCAGGCATGTGCCCTCACTGGGAGTCAAACTGTTAACTCTTTGGTTCTCAGGCTGGCACTCAATCCACTGAGCCACATCAGTCAGAGCTAATATGTTTTTTATCCCCCTAATATCTTCTATAGCTAGTTTTCTGATTACAGAGCCCAGTTACTATGGTAAGGGTAGCATGGAAGCAAGAACCCAGCAATTCTAAATGGCAAATGCAAGTGTGTGTGTGCGCGTGTGCACTGTGCATGTGCATTTGGGCTTTAAGCATTTGAGACACTAGAAAGGAATGCACTTTGGGTTCGCAGTCACTTGGCCTCATTCTGGTTCTTCTACTTAATATGTGGCCTCAGCACAAATCACATCTATTCTTTGAGCTCATTTTCTGGCTCTGTGCCTCCTCACCGGATCGTCATGAGGATCGATGAGATAATACAGGGGGATGTCACTCGATAAAGTTTCATGTAATGTTTCTATCATTGTACCCCACACAAGTAAAGGACCCATAAAGGGCTACTAGTGTCGTGGGACCTAAGAAGTATAGATTAGGAACCCAAATCTGTCATGTTCAGGTTGGGGTAAAGATCTTCATACAAATTTCTAAAGAAAAGTATTAAGGTTTGTAGAGAACACAAGAATACTACTATAGGGAGAAAATCTTTAAGAAGTAGAGGATTGGGTTGAAATCAGGTAGTGATTTTTCTGCTCAGGTTGGATATAGCTCAGACCCAGCACAAAACATAGAAAATTCCCTGCCCTCCCCGCCAATCTCACAATCTTGCTCATAAGGTTCGTGTTACACAGATCAAGTTCTCTTTTTAATTTGTTGGGTAAGCCATTCCTTCCCACTATACTGCGATACCACGGGTGGAGGAGTGCAGGTAAGTCCAGGTTCCCCTGTTGTATCTTGCTTATACTCACAGTGGCTGAGAGTGAGGGTGAGAACAGAATCACCCAGTTTGTTCGTCAGCTGAATGCAGGAGCGAACTGTCGCTCTCATTGCCCTTCCCTAAGAGCTCCAGGGGGAGCCGAGAATCACCGCTTCCACTCCCTGGCTCGGAGTCACAGGTCAGCCCAGTTTCCTCTAACAAGTGCCAGCATCTTAACTCCTATTACGGTGGGATCCATGAATGTGAATGTTCTGGGGAACAGTTAGCTGGCTGAGGTATAGACTGGCACTTCTGTGTCATGGTTCTGGTGAGAAAATAGTTTAGCAGTATACATCAAAAGTATGAAGTATACGCATACCCTTTTGACTCAATAATAGTAATGCTTCTTTCCTATGAAAACAATTTAAAATGCAAAAATAATTTTATTCATTAAGATGTTCAATGCAGTATTGTTTATAATAGTAAACATTTGAAAATAACCTAAATGTTCAAGAATGTAATTACATGAAAGTTATGAGCAGGGACTTCGTAGTCAGGTGGCATTGGCTCTGCTCCATTCATGGCTTAGTCACCAAAGAGTTAGACGATCTTTTGTAATCCTCATTTGTAGAATATGAATAATAACAATAGCAATCCTAACTCAAGGATTATTGTGAAGAATAAGTGAGAGAATATATATGTGAAAACTTACTATAATGCCTAACATATAGTAGGTACTTAATAAATGTCAACAGTTACTATATAAACTATAACAGTGTTTTTTTCTGGATAATAAGATGATGAATAATATTATTTTAAAGTGCTTTCCTGTATTTTTCAAAGTGTTACGTACTTCTTTGACAATCAGACAAAAATCTTCATATTAAGAAAACACATCCATAATACTAGGATGTACTAGTGGAGAAACTCCTCAGCTGAGATTACATGGAGAGTGACTGAGCGACCTGGGAAAGGTGCCATCAGCAGTTCCTATGATGCCCAACTTTTAAAATTAATCGATGTAGTCTAAACAGCGTTCTATGAGCCACAGCTCATGATCTATTAGTGGGCTGTGGAATAAATTTAGTGGAACTGATCAGTATTTAAGGATTATGAACTAGAATAAAGTAAAATGAAATGGAAAATAATAGAGGGTATCTTACGTAGTAAGAATTTAAAATTAAAAAAAATTTATTGACCTTTTATTGAAGGGAGAAATAGATAGACATCAGACATCAGTTTGTTGTTCCACTTATTTTATGCATTTATTGGTTGACTGTTGTTATTTAACCCTGTAACCTTGGTGTATCAGGATGATGCTCTAACCAACCGACCTACCTGGCCGGGACAAAGAATATTTTATGAAGTGTTTACTTTATTTCAGGGTGTGTGTGTGTGTGTGTTTGTGTGTGTGTGTGTGTGCATGCACACACGCATGTACGCACGCACGTGTATGTGCCTTGGGCTGAAATGTAAACTGTTTCTTCCTGAGGGTCTCAGAGTTTTAATCTCCTTATTTAGCCTTCCTGAGGATGTTAGCTCAAAGGGCAAAGAAAGGGAGCATTCCTAAATGTCATCCTCTTGTGGCCCTCCAGGCAAACACTGATGCCATTGAGTAGGCTCCCTTAATCCCTAAAATGGGTGATTTTCTTTCAATAAGTATTTCTCAGAGTTGAAATGGGAGAACACAGGAGGGAATCTATGCAGAAATTACATCAGAGATCAGGTAGGGCAGAGCAAGGCGGAGTAGGGCAGGCAGGGGCTATTTCAACTCTGGCTCTTCCTCTGGTGTTTTAGCTGAGCTCGGTGGAAGCTGGAGGAGCTACAGCATTCATCTATGCCAACTTTAGCGTGCCTGTGGTCAAGGTGAGTGGGGGTCTGGTCCCAACAGGTGGTTGTATGGTGAAGAGCTAACGTTCTAGCCTTCATGCTCTCTGTCCTTGTAAGCTTATTCCTAGGGGGTGGGATAAGAAGAGGTCTTTCCTTGACTCCCAGAATCAAAGATAATCTCTCAATTTTCTATATGACCACATGTTATTGTGCCTCTACTTTTAATTTTATTTGCACTTATATTACAAGTAGATGATTACATGTCTGCCTTCCCTATTACAATAGAACTCCTCAAAGGAAAGAGCTGTTTTTATTAACCTTTGGATCTTTTACAGCAACTGGTCCCCTCAGTCATTTGTTCAGTAAACACTGAGGGCTGGAGGCACTGATTGTAATGAGGAAAACTCATAGTCCTTGTCCTTCAGGAGCTCACACAGAAGATAATAGGCTGTAACAAGGTATGGCAATAGAGCTAGGAAATCACGTCAGGCAGAGGAGGGCCATGTGGAAAGAGGTTTGTTTAATAACTAAATGTACCCACAAATTTCAGATCAGTCAATCCATTGGGGATATCAGCCCCAATAGAATTCAGGAATGAAATGAGGACAAATAAATGAGTTCATGCCTATAAAACACTTACCAAGTATTCATTAAGTAAGTGCAGGAATCTATGAATCCTCAGGGGGTTGGCCACGGTTAAATTACATCAATAAGAAGTGTATAGAGAACTTCCGGTCAAGACGGAGGCATAGGTAAAGCCAAGAGTAAACATGGCTCCCCTCCTTGTACAACCACAGAAAAATTACAACCAGACTACAAAACGAATATTACCCATAATCGTCAGAAAGTCGAGCCGTACAGAAGTCTGACAATGAAGGAGCTAAGCCAACTTCATCCAGATGAGTAGAAGGGGCAGAGACATGGAGACACACAAGAGGTGTGGAGACATGGAGTGGCATGGAATGGGTGGTCCCACACCCACATGTGGTGGATAAAAATCAGGAGGGATACCTCAGGAGTGGGCGACCCTAGCCTAAGACCAGACCACCCTGCCTAGGGTTCCAGTGCCAGGAAGATAAGTCCCCATAACTTCTGGCTGTAAAAATCAGTGGGGATTGGGGTGGCAGAAGAAACTGCAGGATTATCAAGAGACTCCTCTTAAATGGCCCAGGACAGACTTAGGACTCATGCAGACCCACCCCCTCTGGGATTCAGCAGGAGGGCAACAGCTGGAAGGGAACAAGAGGCATTTAAGGAGAAGGGGAAAAAGTGAAGTGACTGGCAACAGGGCAAGTGCCAGGGGACAGCTTCTTTTTGGGCAATCTCCAGAGGCCACGCAGTGACGTTGTTCCCTCTCTGTGCCCTCCCTGAAACAGTTACAAAGCACTTGCCCTGCCCTGGAGGTTACATAAGGCTCCACCCCACACAATTTACAGGTGCCTTTTCTATAATAGGCCATGCCACTAAGACAGGGAGTCAAAGCAGCTATATCTGATACACAGAAACAAACACAGAGAGGCTGCCAAAGAACTATGTCCCAAATGAAAGAACAGAGCAAAACCCCGGAAAAATAACTAAATGAAATGGAGATAAACATCTCTCAGGTGCAGAGTTCAAAAAGCTGGTTATCAGGATGCCCAAAGAAATAATTGGATACTGCAACAGCATAAAAAAGACCCAGGCATAAATGAAGGTCACATTAAGTGAAATAAAGAAAAATCTACAGAGACCCAACAGTGGAGGGGATGAGGCCAAGAATCAAGTAATCAAGTCAACAATTTGGAACATAAGGAAGAAAAAAGCATTCAATCAGAATAGCAAGAAGAAAAAACTTTAAAAGACAAGGATAGAATAAGGAGCCTCTGGGACATCTCCAAATGTACCAACATCTGAATTATGGGGTGCCAGGAGGAGAAAAGGAAGAGAAGAAATTGAAAACTTATTTGAAAAAAGTAATAAAGAAAACTTCCCTAATTCAGTGAAGGAAATAGACACAAAAGTCCAGGAAGCACAGAGAGTCCCATACAAGTTGGACCCAAAGAGAACCACACCGAGACACATAATAATTAAAGTGCCAAATGTTAATGAGAGAATCTTAAAAGTGGCAAGAGAAAAGCAGATAGTTACCTACAAAAGAGTTCTCATAAGACTGTCAGCTGATTTCTCAAAAGATACTTTGCAAGCTAGAAGGGACTGGCAAGAAGTATTCAAAATGATGAACAGCAAGGACTTACAACCTAGATTACTCTATCCAGCAAAGTTATCATTTAGAATTGGAGGGCAATTAAAGTGCTTCCCAGACAAGGTAAAACTAAAGGAGTTCATCATCATCAAGCCATTATTATGTGAAATGTTAAAGAGAACTATATAAGAAAAAGAAGACCAAAACTATGAACATTAAAATGGCAATAAATTCACAACTATCAAAAACTAAATCTAAAAAACAACTAAGCAAACAAGCAGAACAGGAACAGAATCATAGATACAGAGATCATTTGGAGGGTTATCAGCTGGGTGGGGGAAGGGGGAAAATGGGGGAAAAGGTGCAGGGATTAAGAAGTACAAATCAGCAGGTACAGAATAGGGGGATGCTAAGAACAATATAGGAAATGGAGAGGCCAAAGAACTTACGTGGATGACCCACGGACATGAACTAAGGGAGAGGATTGCTGGAGGGAATGAGCTACCAGGTAGAGAGGGGCAAAGGGAGACATTTGGGACAAACATAATGGCATAATCAATTTTATATATATATATATATATATATATATATATATATATATATATATATATATATATATATATAGTATACCCATATCCATCAAATGTCTCCCCAGGAGGAGAGGGGTCAAACAAGGAAGAGATAAATAAGTAGGAAATGTGTTCATGATATATATGTGTGTATGTGTCCAAGAGCACTTCTTTCTGAAGACAGAAGAGAAATAAAAGCTGGGTATGGAGGAAGAACATACAAGATTTGGAGTCAAAACACTGGGGTTTGATTCTTAGTTGCATTATTTTACGCCCCTGAGCCTCAGCTTCCTTGCTGGTAGATTGGGGAGTGTGGTAATGCCGGCTTCCCGGGCATGTTATTAGTGAATACCTAAGGGAGGTAAGAGGCTGAGTTCATTAAGTTCTTGGTTGTATGAGGAATGTTTTATTCCACCTTGAGGTTTCTGTTGCGTGCATCTCCTCAGTGAGCCAATGATATCCTAGTCTCATCTTTCTCCCAGCACTTGTCACACTGTCCTGTTCCAGTCTGTTTTTATATCTGTCTATCCTAAAAGACTGTGAGCTTCTGAGAGCAGAATGGGCATGATTTGTCCCTGCATCCTCAGGGCATGGAGCAGGGTAGGCCCTCAATAAATGCCGAGGGCATGACTGATTGAAGAAATAACAGCTTATGCCACCCTGTGCCATTTTATGCATGTCTTGCCCCCAGTCTGCACAGATGATTTTTCATAATGACATGCATGCATTTGCTCTCAGTCATGTGCTTCCCAAGGAATGAGATTTGGGGTTGCCCCCACTCCGGGGTGGGACTCTCTTGTTTTCAGAATGCAGCACTATTTTGGTGGAACCTACATAGGAGTGGTGAAGGGGATGGCGACACACTTCATGCTGGCTGTCCTGTCCTGGTGGGGGACAAGTGGGGTAAGGCCTGCCTTTCTGGGTGTGAGAATGGGTTGAGGGGTTCATAGTAAAGTGAAACAGGGGTGGATGGAAAATAGTGTAGCCCTTTCATTCCAAAAGCTTCACTACAGGGCCCTGTTACATTGAGATGGTCAGGCTCTGGGGTAGTTGCCACCGGCAAATTGGAAGCCTGTCACAGAGCGGGTGTCAGTAAAAGTTCATTGACCTGACCAGACTGACCTTGATTCCAGAGTACAGCCGAGGAGGCATATGGTGCTGAGTCCCAGTCCTGTGTCCCATGGGGAGAACCATCAAGTGTTTCCCCAGGAGGAAAGGGTCAAACAAGGAAGAGATAAATAAGTAGGAAATGTATCATATAAGTATGATGTGTGTGTGTGTGTGTGTGTGTGTGTCCACGAGCACTTCTCTCTGAAGACAGAAAATGTAGAAGAGGGCCTCGCATGCTGTGCTGGACCTTGCCAGGAAAGGCCGCCCCTGTACTCTCATTACTTTGGAGCGGCACCATGGAGAGTGGGCGTACAGGAGCTCCGTGAATGACTGACGAGTGACTTTAGAACCCATGAGTTTGAAAATTAGTCTATAGTAGAGAGGACCCATCAGGGGCTTTTTCCAGGGGACAAGGTCCTCTGCTATTTATCTGTTGGAATCATTTTGTAGTCCATAGCAGGGCTGGGACTAGGGGCAGGCGAATGAGTTGTCTGGGTGCAGAGTTTAAGGAGGCCCTGGCACGCCCCTGCGGTGAGCACTGCCACTGAACACTCTGCTGAACCTGCTCTCATCTTCCTCTTCCCGCCCCCCACCCTGTCTCCCCCAGTGGCCAACAAGTGGATACACGAATACGGACAGGAATTCCGCAGACCCTGCAGCTCGAGGCCCGAGGACTAACATGTTGGCAGAGAGAAGCTGCTGGAGTCCTGTGGCTTTCTGGAGAAGCCAGACACCGAAAACTAGGAAGGGAGAAAGAAGAGCACCCTCTGGAAGACGCCTTGTCAGCGCCCTGTGTTCCTTGCAAACGGGAGGCAGGGAAGTGGTCTTTATGAGGGACACCCAAGGGTTCACTGAGAAACCATTCACGTTGTTTCTCCTCCAGGCGTGAGTCACAGTGGACTGGGCAAGAAGGTTGGAGAGCAGTTTCTGGAGATCAGACACTCTGTTGGGAACAGGACACATCCATCCACAGTCTCTGGGGTTTGGTCAGTGGGGCTTTTCTCATTTTGAACCTTGACCCTGCGGGCCCAGAAGTACAATGAGGACACACGCCCACAGGGAGGGCTGGCCTGGCTCCCCTGGCTTTCTGCCCCTCAGCCCACCGACCTTTGCTGAAGACTGAGTGAGCAGCATCTCTGTATCAGGAGGGTACTTCATATGATTTTTAAAGCAGAAAGCAATTTTTTCTTTTTTTTTTTGTATGACGATATTTTAATACAGCCATTAAAAATGTTTACAAATCATTTTCATACCAAGTATATTCTTACATTATAACATTGAGTGAAAAAAAGCAGAAAGTTTTATTTATGCCATAATCTCAGCTCGGTTCACCTCCTACCACTCCCCTCACTCCATTCCTGACACGCGACATTCTGTCTGTTCCTCAGAACCACCACGCTCCTCGCCCACAACATCATTCCCACCTTTCAGGCCTTTGTATCTGCTGCTCCTTCAACTCCCGGGCCAAGCTGTTCTCATCATTTCACTCTTGGCTCAGTGTCACTTCAGAGAGGCCTTGCCTGATTCCCCAGCCTTCCAGCCATTTTCTTTCACATTCACTGATTTCATTTTTTGTTGGTTTTTTTTTTTTTTTTTTAAAGTAAGGCATGTCTTTATTTTGCCTGGGTTTTACAAAAGTAAATTTATGTTAACTTTTATGTTTCTTTTTAAAAAAAATACTTTATTTGATTTCATTTTCTTTATAACACATTTCTCGAACTGAAATTACTCTATTCATTGTTTAATTGTGGCCAGTTGCCTTCCCTGCAGGACGAGTGCTTTAAGACCCCGTTGTATTTTGTAAATGCCTCTATTATAGCGCCCATCTCACGGAATTTCCGTATTTGCTGATTTACCTGGCTGTTCACTTTAGTCTCTGTGCTCCTCATTCTTCTTGGTTTCCCCAGAGGAAGGTCTGGTTTGAATTAAGTAGGCATTCAGCAAAAAGTTTTGGATAAATGAATAAGAAGGCACACTTTGAGCTGTGCTTTGGGGGACAGGTAGAATTTTTACAGGCAGAGCCTTAATGAGGAGAAGCCTTTCCCAGCAGAAGGATTAGCATGGGCTAAGGCTGCATTGATGAGTGACTGTAATATTTGAGCCCTTGTGCAAAGAGAACATTCCCTGCAACTTGGCTCAGGTTCCTCAACTGGGACCAGGGTGTGTGTTTTGCTTACAAAGAAGCCACACAGTTAAACGACAGGATGGTTAGACGGTGTGCTGCCTCTGCCCCCAACCTGCACCATGCACTTCAGGGCTTCTGCTTCCCCGAGCTCTGTGGTCCCCAAGGAAAGGGTTCTGCTGTGCTGATACGCAGCTTCCTGCAGGGTCTCGACAAGTGCCTGGTCACATCCTGTATTTCTGCCGAGTGTGCCCGCATTCTGGAAATGACCTGAATAAATTATTCTCGTGTAGGGGAGGAAAATCATTTTCCCTCTGCCATTCTGTGTTCTTAGCTGAGACCTCTGTAATTAAAGACAGACTGACAAGAGAAAAACATACAAGAGTTTATTCACATGTATATATCGTATATATATGGGAGACTCTCAGGGAAAAACAAGTAACTCCCTGACATGCAGAGAATTCAGACTTAAATAAGGAAAGGGGAGGGAGGGTGGAGGTCTCCTTAGGAAAGAATAATGGGTCGTTAGAAGACTAGATGAGAGGGGAGGTATGACAGTTTTCAAGAGTTGTCTGGGTGTGGGGCCCACTTGTAGTCTCCTCTTCTGTGATGAGTCAGTCTTTCCTGGTTGATGAAACTCCCAGGGAGGGGATTCATGACAACTGAGTTCCTGTTGGAGAGTCTGTCTTTAAGCCGGTAAACAGAGTTTAGAGAAAGCTTCTTCCTGCATTTACTGTTTTCCAAGGGCCTATAGCTCAAAATAATCAAATGCCAGAGCAGCATACAGTGTGGCACATTCTGCTGCCTTCCGTCACATCTTGACAACCCGCTTCCTCCAGCTCCAGAGGAACAGGCCCGAGATAGGAAGCTGTCGACGGCCGCACTGCTCCCCTTTCCTCACTGCTGCGGGGATCAGACCTGGGCCTTCTCGGAACTGCAGGCCGGGTCTGAGCTAAAAACAGCAACAGTGAACTTGGTGAGTTTCCCATGTGATGGGGACCTTCTAAGGGCTCACGTGAGCTAATGGAACTCTAAAGGGCTCAATGAGTTAATGCTCATCCCAATGCTTTGAGGTCTATCAGTTATTATCCAAGTTTTATAGAAAAGAAGTTAGAGAGTTAAGTAACTCGCCATGATCCCACAGTCTGGCTCCAGATCTTGTGCTTCGAACCATTACTTTCACAATGTCTAAGAGGTGGCAATTATCAAATATCTTGAGCAAGCAACTGAGGCCCAAGAACTGCCTGGCTGTAAATGAAGCAACAACTGCTTACCAGGCAGTCCCCAGGGCCAGGCCCAGGCCCCAGGGGGGCTGTGGGAAGCAAGAGGTACAGGATATAGTCAGCTAGGAGGGAGATGAGACAAGTTCATCCAGAGTTAAATGTTCGTTAAGTACAATATGATAACGTTGCATGCAATAAGAGATGAATTATTGAACGAGGCAATCAGGAGCTGAGGGGGTCATTGTAGCTTGAAGTAGCTGGGGTAGCCTCATTTACTTGTTCTTTCAAATCACACTACCAAGGTGCAAACTCAGTGCCAGGCCTTTGGGGACACCAGGAATGGAGAGGAGAATTCTGTGCTGACCCTGTCCAGACCCTTAGATCATCACAGGACAACGTAGCCATAGGCGGACACAGGAGCAGCCTGACCACACCCCCGCCCCCCCAGGCTTTATGGTAAAGACTGACCAAGTCTTGATGATGGGGGCGCAGTGGCCTGGGGAGGGTTTGTAGAGGTGTGGGGAGAGGAGCAGCGCCAGGAGGAATGGCACTCCATAGAGCTTTTGGCCAGTATGTTAGCTTTAAAAACACCTTAGCGTTCCTTCTCTTGAACCTCATCTACCCAGCGAAGAAAGGTGAGCAGGCACTGTAGAAAGCGAGGTTGAAATGCTTCGTGGCATGCCTGGGGTGCCACAGGAGAGCATGGCCTGAGGCCTGGTCTTCTGTCTTCCTCACTAGCGTGCCTTCCACTCGATGGCTTTCAAAGCTATGTGTCTCCACTGCACCACAGCTGGCAAGCAGAAAGACCTTATTCTTTTATATTTGCACATGCTTCCATGTCTTCAGAAATTCCGACTGGTCCTGTTAGAAAGTGGTATGGCTGTGCCCCGCTCCCCGCGCCAACACCACTTTGTGGGTAGGTAGCTAATTATAAATAGGACTGACCATGTCGCTTATTTACAATTTTGTTTCTTTCTTGCTCTGTTCTTCAACCATTTTTCTAACAGTTTCATCCAACCTGAGCTCCTGGCATTGCCTAAAATATCTCCTTCAGGGAATATTCTTTACATTAATAACTATTATCATCATCCTTAGTAACCATACATTGGCCATTTACTATAGCCCAAGCACTATGCTAAGAACTTAGGTGTTTTTGTTTCCATCAATCCTCACAATGAGATAAGTACTGTTATTCCCATTTTATGGATGAGGGAAACTGAGCCAGAGAATGTGTAAGCTTGCCTGAGGTTACATAGCTATAAAGTGACAGAGGTCTGCCTTTCTCCAAACACCTTAACTAGCCCTCTGTTGTCGGCATTACATGTTATTTTGCTGTGGTTGCTTTGCTCCCATTGGCAACATCCTTTGGTGCCAACATTTTTTGAGAGGAGTCTCCAACATTCCCCCAGGTTTTGAAAGGTCTATACTTTGTGCCTCTAATGCCTAATGGCTAAGAACCCTGTCAGATGTAGGTGTTTGTCAAATATACATACAAATCACCTCAATTCCAAAGATGTACTGTACTATGACCACCTGTTGTGTGATCAGCCCCATGCTAGGAACTCCATGAGAATCCAAGAAAATGAGGAGGTCTGCTCACTGCCCTTAAGGCAAAATGAGCCCTTGCCCAAATAGAAGAATAGACAGATATAATCAACTAGAAGGCTGTGAGGTGCTCACCCTAAGGATCATGGGCGCTGGGAGCTAGAAGAAAGAGAACCCTATGTCTAGGGTGGACTGAAGCTTCCATGTTGGGGCCCCAAGAACCCAACGGGAAGAGTGAGAATGCGTGCCTGTGGAGGGCAGGGAGCAGCTGTCATCTAACTTGTCCCCTTTCACACACAAGGGGGCAGGGAGAGCGGCCTAGGAAGAGAAAGTGAGGTGCTGATTCTGGGAGCCCTTGTCCAGCAATGCCAAAGGCAGCCAGCACAGACTGCCCTTTCATGGAGCCACTCAAAGAATTCCCTGTTTGGGGGTGTTGGCTGCTCAAGCTGGGAGAATCCCAGGTGAGGGGAGGGGAGGGGAGAGGAGGGCAGGGCAGGGCATTTGCCTGCAGAGTGCTATATACCGGCAAAACTGTGAAATCAGCCAAGGGTTAAGGGAGGAGCCAAACATTCATACCTATTCTGTACCAGCTATTTTCTCTCTCTTTATTTCATTCACAACAATTACCGTCCCTATTGGCAAGGGAGGAAAAGGAGGCTCCATGAAAAGACTTCCCTAAATTCACGGAGCTGGGACAAGGAGCTAGGTCTTCTTTACCTGCTGCTTCTAACCTCTCTTTCTCTCTGGACTTTTCTTTCACCTGAGGCTCCCCACAACTTTCTCCCCCTTAGGAAGTAG